TAGGATGTCCAAATAAGTCTGTTGAAAAAGCTAACACAAAATGCTGCAGGAAACGTTTAGAGAGAAACAAGGTATCTGAGCTATCAGGCTGTGCTGCTAAAGGCCTAGACGACTAGGAGGAACTCCCATGGTGCAATGAGCACACTCTCTCCCTCTCAGAACAGAAATGTTCATTAAATTATGTTTCTACGTTGGTTCTTCAATTTATTTTATCCGAATCAGTCAAGTAGAAAACAATTGTCTTGTTACCTGTGTTTTTTTTTTATCTCCACTAGTATGCGCTCTTCCTCGCTTTCTCTCTGTCTTTACTTCATAGGTTCCTGTAACTTCAAAGCTTCAGGTGTGATCCAGACTCTCCTGTTTGTTATATAAGGTTAGTGTCACCTCAGATTTCTGACAGTAAATTTAAAAAATTCTAATAAATCACCCTGGGATTTTGGAGGAATATTCTAGATGTATTTGACTCTGAGGACAGAACGCTGTAACTCTAACGCTATTATGAAAGACTTTGATAAAAGTTGAAGACTTTATTTGTTAAAAAACAGAAAAGAATGTTCTATGTTAGCATCCTAGCACTAGCACGTTAGCATACACATAAAAAGGACAGTAACAGAACTGGAATTCAGTCAAAGAAGGAGATTTCTATCTAGATTTTCTACACAGTAGGCATTTTGGAACCCTGCTTGACACCTCAGGAGTCACATTTGTACATTTGTCTCTCGAAACAGGGACGGAAATGTAGCATACTGCACACATTTGTACATTTGTCTCTCGAAACAAGAGGGACGGAAATGTAGCATACTGCGTATTTTCTCCTCCCTGTTTATTTTCAAATCAAACAAAAATGTGGTACGACAGCAAGAAACGGAGCCTGTTTTTGTGCACAGTTGTGAGAACCAGATTTATTTATGTCTGAAACACAGCAAAGTGAAAGATTTAAAACCGGAATCATAAAAAAATAAATCGAGTTTATGGAAGGAATGGCACAACAATAGACGACAACGCCACTGTGTCAAAACAGCCCGAGCCAAACATTGATTTTATTGTTCGGTAACGTCAACTGTTTAGATTCCCCACGTCATTACTCAGCAGAAGCTGCACGTCAGCCCACTCCTCGCCCCTCGCTCCCCTTGTCGTCTTGAGGTTATAATGGTCGCCCGGACTTTTTTTTTTAAAGATGCGACCTCTGCCCCAAACAAACACTCTGTGGGAGAATGTATGAACTAATGTGGGCTCTGTGGCCTGCTGGGCCGTCATGCTCCCTGGGGTGTCTGCTCAAGAAAGGGGCCTGTTATTTTGAAGAAGCGTCCCAGGGCCCTCCTCCCACCCTCCTGTAGTGTCTACTCCAGTGGAGACGAAGGAAACGTTGGGAAAATCCCAGCGCAAGACGGGGACAAGTTGGGGTTTGAAGGCGAGATGCTGCTTATCAGTGAAGATATAGAAGCTGGTTCCACTTTGTTAATCATGAGACAGTGACGACCTTCCCTTCCTCACATCACCTCACATCATGTGTTTCACATTCAGTAGGGCCTGTGGACATGTCAGCATTGTCATGGTAATAACGACGGTGTCTTTACAGACCGGAGGACGGAGGACTGACTCCCATACAGGAAGGCGGTTGTGTTCTCGAGCAGAAACAAGGACTCATGCAAATATGTCAGCTGATGCACGAGGGCCATAAATACCCTCAGATCCGGGCTTGTTTGTATCCACGTCTGTGCATCTGGACCTCACACACTGTGAGCAGTACACTGTCGGTGAGAGAAGAAGAAGGTCAGACATAAGTACTGTACCACCAGGGCCGGTGATTTCATTACAATAAAAGCAGAAATACACACTTTATAACTTTAAAACTGTCTCTCAGACACCGGGTTCAAAACCAAGTGGGAGACTTTGTTTACATGGTATATTTGTTCTACTGTAGGCATTCTTTTAACTTTTAGCAACTTGTGGAGTAAGTTTCACTTTGCTTCGATATAGTGATGAGTTTTCATTCAGTTCACATATTGTTTTAACTTGATTTTGGCGATATCCTGGCAAAGGATTTAACAATTTAAAAGCTAAAGAAACTGAACTATTTTGACTTATGTTTATCAAAATAGGTTTTAGAATTTAGTTTTAGTTTTTGTTAGAGCTCTTTATTCCAAAAGAAAACTGCGAGTTTATCATTTTAAGATCCATTAGAACCGTAAGAACAAAACCAATTCTTCACAGTTATGGTCGCCATAAAATAGTCAAATGTCTCCCTCTGTTGGACAGATTTGTAAATAAATGAGGAAACTTCTAAACCGCTAGGTGGCCCCACGTCCATCTATGCACTTTAAATATTTTAAGAACATCTGAAGAAAGTCGGGGCACTTAGTGACAATTGCTTTTAAAATTAGATCCATTTGGCGTCCTGTTTTAAGGTAAGTAAATTGTCTAAATGGCTCGTCATAACTCTCCTTAATTTTTCGAATATTCTCAGTAACCCACTTGTGTTCAATCCTAAGATTTTAACGGTCTTATCTGTGTTTTATTTATTGTTTTTGAGCCGGCTTTATTTAGCTTTATTTAGCTGACTAGTCTTATTTAGCTCTTAAATCTTCGGTGAAGGTTGCTCTAGTCTGAGGTTCTCTATTTTTGTGCTAAGCTAAAAAAAATGGCTGCGTTAAGAAGGATATCTGATATATAAATGGCTGCGTTAAGAAGGATATCTGATTTTAAAAAAAAACTTTAATTCAACACAATGCACGGCAACAATGGTTTCTATTTAGGATTAACAACAACCACCCGTGGTGTCAATTACCAGCAGGGCACTGGTGGAAACTGGACCACTGTTGTTCTTGTTCAAAGACAATTAAGAACGAGAGGAGGGAGGTGTGTCAGGTGGCAGAGAGAAAACAGGAAAGACAGCATTCTAGTGGTTGGAGAATGGACTATGAAAGTTAGGACAATGACTGAAAAAATGTGAAGAGGGGAGGCAGACACCTGGAGATGTCGAGAGAAGAAAACAATTAAACAATTGCGGTTTCCAGCAGCTTAGCTTCGTGTAAGCAGAGACAGGAATGAAGGAGGGATAATGTTGAAAGAACTGTTTGTGAGTGTGGTTTTGGAGTTTCAGACAGGACCACATGCTTGAGGCAGGAGGCGGAGGGTGTGTTGTTGAATGTTGTCATTGCATTTTTAAGCTCATGTTGGGTTCATTATATATGTTTGTGTTGGAAACCTTATTATAAATAGAGAAAAATAAATAAATCATTATTGAAATCTAGTTGGGGGCCAGATTTTGGAGGGGTTTACGGGCCGGAAAAGTTAGTTAGTTTGAGACCCCTGCTCTAAAGGGGTCTTATTAACAAAGATTAATTATCCTTTTAAACCCAATAAAGACACAAACTTTCAGCTAAGTTGCTAATTCAAGAACCTTAGATATTTAAACTTATCTGACACAGAGATTTTTTTTGTTTTTATTTTCCAAAGGTGCTGTCATTTCCTACCTGTTCCAACAAAAACTATGAAGTTGTCAAATAACATTTGCATAACTTAAAATGTACATAAAATCCAGTCTTCCTAATGTTGCCAGATTAGCAAGGGTATTGGTGATAAAACCCAAATGACAATAAAATATTTATCACTGGTATTGGTGATAAAACCCAAATGACAAAATATTTATCACTTTTGAGTGTGGATTGTATGTACTGTACATCAAGTAGACATTCTTAACCAGACAGGATTTTTATTTAAAATAATGTAAATTGTTGATTTAAATTGCACCTTGATTTAATAATTAGCATACTTGTTTGATAATCAGCTGTTATATGGCACCAGTAAAACGTCCAAGAACTTTTCTAGATTATATAGTAATTTTCCAAAAAACATTGTGCCATTATGGAATCAATTAGGTTCAATCTAATAAAACATTATCCCTTGGAGCAGAGTCAATGTATTTGGGGCCTTCCTTTGCTCAGTTATAGGATAATGCAAAATGCTAATATCAATGTTATCATGTAATCATATTGATGACATTGTTGCCTTTGCCTTCAGTTCTGATTGATGCTTTTTATGGATAAATCCAGTGATTTATGACTCAAACCATAATGTGTTGTAATAATTTTAATTTTCCCAGCACTTTAGTGATGCATTTATTAAACACTGATGGAATTATAGGGATTTCATTATGTGTATCATTGAGTAATTGAGCATATGAGGCTGAAACAAAGAACAATTTAAACAAGGATGTTTTTATTTGACAATGATACAAGTCGGCCAACAGCAGCGTTCCTGTTCATGGTCTAAAACTTCTGGAACTGCTTCTTAGCTCCAGCAGCTTTCGTCACTTTGAGGACGTTGAATCTCACGGTTTTGCTGAGTGGTCTGCACTCTCCGACGGTCACAATGTCTCCAACTGAAACGTCCCTGCAAAAGAAACGTGAAGCAGATGTCAATGTGGGTTGTAGATGTGTATATGTAGGTCTGGTTTTAATAATAGTAAAAAAAAAAAAAAAAAAACATGAGGATAAATCTTTAGCTGCATCAGTGATTGCCAAAGGCAGTATCGTCAGAGCTTCTAGAGCTTGGAAGACCATCGTGAGAATAAACATCATTTGCAGCCCATTTTAATTCAAGTGTTTTAAGCTAAGGTGGTGTGTCAGATTTCTATTTACGATGCTAGCAGGACTCAAAGAGGCTAAATTAATCACATTTGAGTTAATGAACTTTTGTAACATTTTACACCAAAGTTGTATTGTTGAATTTGTGCAGTGTCAGTGCACAGGATATGTTTCACACCTGAAGCAGGGTGACAGATGGACTGAGAGGTTCTTGTGTCTCTTCTCAAAGCGGTTGTACTTGCGGATGTAATGCAGATAATCACGTCTGATAACAATGGTCCTCTGCATCTTCATTTTGGTCACCACACCTTAAAGAAAAAAACAAAACAAACAAAAAAAACCCTAAATGGTTAGTTTCTCCACTGCAGTTCCAAATACAGCAGTCAAGCAGAAGAGAGAAAAGGCTGTCACAGGTTTGCATCAGCAATGCCATTAGGCAATATCGTCAGAACCCAAAGGGTTTGGAAGACCATCGTGAGAAAAACATCACTTGCAGGACAGTAACAGCAGTTAACCACATTTAATTATGTTAACATTTGATGAGCATAAATATAAAGTCAAATTAGACTCTTTTTTTTAAAGTATGAACACATTTCATCATCAAGAACTTGACACTAACCAGAGAGGATACGGCCACGGATAGAAACATTTCCAGTGAAGGGGCATTTCTTGTCAATGTAAGTGCCATCAATCGCCTGAAGCAAGAGAAACATAAAAAACGTGTATTAGCAATGGACATTTCTTTGCATTCTAGTTGTTTTGACGACTGCTGCATCAGTTTTGCCAAAGGCATTTTCGTCAGAACCCTACAGGCTTGGAAGACCATCGTGAGAAAAGCATCACTTGCAGTTACAGAAAGCACACGTTAAAGCTTTTTCGGCTTATTTCAATGACTAAAGGAACTGTACAAACTTAAGACATACCTCTCTTGGGGTTTTGAAGCCCAGCCCGACACTCTTATGGTAGCGGGGGAGCTTTTCCTTGCTCTCCTTGCCACCATCTGTAGCCAGAACACGCTTCTTGTTCTGGAAGATGGTGGGCTGTTTCTGATAAGCCCTCTCGGTCTGTAGAGAAACAACACAAGTTATATTTAAACGGTTTTTTTAAACAACACTGGATATGCGCTCGTAGGTTAACAGTTTTTGACATCATAGCTTAGCCTCCATAGGCATTTCATGGCCGACTTCCTCTAATGATCGCAACTACCCAGAAGTATTAGACTATTGTGTATCATGCACCAATAACTTCGATAAAACAAAAACGCGTCTAAATTGGAGTATAAACGTATACGACTCAATTACTCCTCGGCAGTAATGTCTAGACTTAGGATGTTAGCACACCGGCTAACAACGGTACACGAGGATATGCCGACGGGTGAAAACATGCTGTCTCCTGAGGCTGGTGAGCGGTTAAAAACAATATGACGTAATGTATTGACTCTACATTATGTCTACGTCGGTATAAAATGCGGCTATAGCGTTAGTTAAAGCAAATAAAATTCGATTATAATTCAGCACGCCGTTTTTCTGAACGTACTTGTGCGTCCGCCATCTTGGCCTGCCGAGTCGTAAAGAGGCCTACACATGCGCGCGACGTACGGAAGAAGACCTGGCACCGGATATGATGTAGACAAATGCGTATTCTCTTTATAATGGAGATTTGGTTTTCTAATTAACAATAGTAGTTGGGTTAATTTACCAATAATTTGAGGATTATCTAAAATGTAAAACATGTTGTTTTTATTTTAAATTATTAGGTTTTCTGTAACACAAGCATGGGTTGTCATGACATTCGTTTTGTTTTCTATCAAAATTGCACTTCAAAATATTATCTCTTTTGCGACTAGTTCTTTCTACAATTTCTTGATATTTGCATTTGAAGCAAGGCCTAATCATTGTTCATAGGAAAGATGTGCCATATTAGATCACAAAGAAGCAGAAACAAAAGAATTAACTTTTTTAAATGTTCATGTCTTACGTAAATCAATTAGTACATAAAATGTTTCAATTGCACATAATATGTTGGAAATCTATTTTTATACGGTGAGAATACTTATGAAGTAGAACTGAAACAGTTAAATGGTAAATGTTTAAATATGTGTGGCAATGTTCTATAAGCAAAGTTTTTAGTGAAGGAAAAAAAACAAACAAAGAAGATGGACAAGTCTGTACGGAAGCAGGGGTGATCTCATGATCTAGACGACAAGATGGCAGCGCACCCGGGAGGAGACGATGACGGTAATGCTTATCAGCAGCAACGTTCTGACATTAGAACTGATTGTGACAGTGAAGTAAAACATATCGCTAGCCAATGATAGTTTGCGTCCTTGTTGTGCTATACCGTGTGATGTGTTTGTATGTCATAAATAACGTGTTTAGAACTAATGTTAGCCTTGTATTCGCTAAAGCTAACTATGCTAGCTTCAGCGGTGAAATGTTCGAAACCACACAGAAACGCTGTAATCAGCAGACTTACGCGGAAGTTGTCAAGTTGTTTTTTTTTTTTTTTTTAAATATATAGTTTCTTGCTTTTACTCGGCCTCGGTAAATACATTAAATGTATATTGTAATTGACATCCCCCCACAACTTTGGTAAATTAACTTAGGCTAATTTAATTAGCTAAGAACTACCACTAACCTATTTTATATGTGTTGGGTTCTACTGGATTTACAGAAAGAAAAAAAAACATTTTAAACAACGGATTTGATTAAAAGTATACAACACTAAAAAGGGCCAAACTTGGTAAAATGTGATTTTGAATGGTCTCACATCCGGTTGAAAAAAAAATTCCCAACTTGTGACCTCATTGTACTTTTTGACTAAACCCCGTCTTTTGCTATTCAGGTACCAACAGGGATCAATTACTGGAATTAGGACGTATTCTGTTGAAGGAGTAAGTGTTTACCATTCATCTAGTATGCCATTTTATGGGGGGGGGCATTCACATTAATCACTGTTTGTGTGTATCCTGTCAAGTTTCATCTATGAACGTGTTCAACGGAATAGAGACAGCAATGCTGTTGTGACCAGGTCACAGCTTGGAGCAGGGGAGCTCTGTGACCCAAACCACAAGAAGCTGGCTCAGTGTCTTCAGCAAATTGGAGACGAGCTCGATGGAAATGTAGAACTCCAAAGGTAGGCAAGCTGGCGTCACACATGTATTGTTCCGTTGCTTTGTTCTTGTTTGAATTTGAGATAACATTGTTTGTCAGCCGCAGCACTGTGCAAGTGGAATGCAATGAACTTGGTTTTTAAATAGAACAGACATTAGTTATCTGTGTATTATGGCTTACAGGATAAATGGAACCTAAAACATATATATGCTGAAAAGATAGTAAAAACGTTTATTCTTTCATGAACACATTCACCAGCCATTATGGTTGTGAATTTTGGGCTTTCTGTATATGCTATAACCTGTATTCGTAGTGTTTAGGGGAAAATAAAAGGAAAATACTACTTATATTGTCCTTATATACCATTTATATCACCATAGAGTTTTGCTAAAGACACACACTGGCAGAATACAAACATGACTATTTCTCTCATTATGAAAAGTTAAAAAGAATAATTACAAGAGAAAGGATTTAAAGTTCTGTCTGCATTTTAAGTAGTACTTTTTATTTAATATTTTCGGAAGATGTTATCTTTTTCGAAGTACTTCAATTCATTAAGCTGGGATCTCATTAATTTCAAATTAATAAGATCTCTTATCTGTAAAAAGGCAATACAAAACATATATACATATAACATATATTTTTTACAAATATAAAACACTTGATGCAGACTATATTTCACTGGTTAGGGTTTTTCATGTGTAGTTGTGTATACTGTATGTTATTTCTGTACTTCTACATTTAAATGTGTGAGAAACGACGTTAAAGGAAGTTGTCAGTAAATCTAAAAATATAATACTTTGTTGCTGTGCTGCACTGTTTCAATAGTGGATTTGTCGTTGTAGCCCTGTAGGGTTTTATCAGTCTGTCTGTTTGTGGACATCTGGTAGTAAATTACATTCAATGCCGTTCCAGTGTGCTGCATATACGCTGGTATAGTAGAGCTGCAATAGAAAAATGTTATTGTTGTAATTAACAATTTTATATATATTTTTTTTTAAAATATGCTTTTATATATATATTTCTTTTCAAATATAATGATGGTAAACGTAGGTCTGAGATTCCATATTATTACATCTTTTCAGGTTGGCTTTATGTCTGCTTATTTAGACACTTAACTATATGTAGCTTCAAATAGAAGAATAAAATAATTCCCTAGCTGGGGATTTATTTATCTTCAATCTCCTAATAGCTAGGTTTTTGTTTTTTGTTTTTTTTGTTATTTCTTTTCTCACTTCCTTATTTTGTTTTTTATAGTTTGAAATTTCCAGAAAAGGTCCGAATATCATCTTTTTTATTTATGTATACTACAGCAATTTTTTTTAAACAGATAATGATTCAAATATTTATTGGCTTTTTCCAGTTTCATTTCTGTACTGTAATTTGAGGAGCTAGTATTTTATTAGCTGTATTTTCAGCTTGCATGCTAACAGTTGTGTTAATTCGATTAAGTGTTTTAATATCTTGTCTTTGCTGTGTCCCATTAAACAGCTGATGGGACTTCTTTGTGAACATTTTCTTGCCTACCTTCACTTCTAAATCCCATAACATGTTTCTTTTTTAAATGTGGAGTTATTAATAAATCTCCATGTGGTGTTTTTCCAGCTACCTTCCAACTATCAACCTTGTCCTGTTTGTCTTTTTGTTTCCTTCCAGGATGATAGAGAACTCTTCACTCAGTCCCACCAGAGAAGTGTTTATGAGAGTAGCCTACGAGATCTTTTCAGACGGGAAATTCAACTGGGGCCGAGTGGTAGCTCTGTTCTACTTCGCCTGTCGACTCGTCATCAAAGTACGTTTATTTTTTCAAAAACTTTTAAAATTTGAACAAACCGATGGTGGCCTCCCTGCCTGATATCAACACGTCATCTCAAAACACCCAGGCTCTGGTGACCCAAGTCCCTGACATCATCAGAACCATCATCAACTGGACCGTTGATTACCTTCGTGAAAATGTAATCAACTGGATCATGGAGCAAGGTGGCTGGGTGAGGAGCTTAATCAACTAATGCATGTTTGTTCTCCTGATTTCTATTGGCTTAGAGAGCACATTGTAACGTCAGTGTTTTATTTTGAAGGAGGGCATTCGTTCCTACTTTGGCACTCCCACATGGCAGACGGTGGGAGTTTTCTTGGCTGGCGTTCTCACCACTGTCATTGTCATACGGAAAATGTGAAGGGCCTACGAGGATGAACTAAGACTTTGGGAAATGGGGAACAGGAAGGTCCTTAGAAGATGAGCAGGAGGAAACGCTACAGGAAGAACTTTGCATTTCGGACAAGAGCCTCCGCTGTCTCCCATCAACGAGCGTGGATCAGGAGATTGACTGAACAGCCTTTTGCTCCCATGATTCCTACACTACTGGGGAAGTGAGCGTGAAGCGTTGCATGGGTACACGCAGGCATCGCTGTGGGCGGAGCGGTTGTCAGACTTCAACAGGGAATATGTTTTAGTTAATTTATTTTTTATTTGGTACAAATAAGTCACTGCACTCCGTTTTCTCAGCTGAAATCACACGGGCAGATGTTTTCTCGTGATATTGGGAATTCTACCGCTGTGTCGTTCATTCACAAATTTCTGTTCCTCCATAATTCCTTTTTGGATCTTCCAGCTCTCCATCCATGTAGCCATGGTGTGTGTAGATGTATCAGTTCCATCTTATGTATTTGTGAGTGTTTCCTGGTGCAAACCTGTACTGATCTACCAGCGCTGAAGACATTGGTCACATCTGTTCACAATAATTTTTATTTTTTTTAATTTACAGACTTAACACAAATTTGATGCTCAAGAAGAGTTTAAACCATTTTTCTCAGCAAATGCACAACACGGCCTTATTTAACATGTAACACGTACTACAGCAAGTATTTATGCCAAATAACTACCTAACTTAAAGACAATTTGATCTATTTCTTGCTGTGCGTGACATGACATACTATATTTCCTTTGGCTGTTTTCACCAATGATGTGACTCAGTAATTCTTCCAAACCTTGGTCTAAGTGGAGCGTCTCAAAGTGATGCCGTCGTCGTCATACGCAGACGGAGAAAGCCGCGGATTGCTCACAGATGCTTACCTCACTTTGTACATTTTCAGAGTACTGTATTTTACCCAAGTTGTTCAACCTGCGATGTCGTCTACACGGCAGAATGCTTTTATACATATTCTGGTGCCTTGGTGTCTTTTTTACTCATTTTGATATTCACACTGTTTTCTATCACAATTGTAAATCTGAAACAAGTTTGAAATCTTCATGAAAATCTTTTTTGCAGTGACTTTGTACGTTATAATATGGAAAATAAATTGTAACTGTGGATCTGGTTAAGCATTGATTATTCGATGATGTTCGAGATGCTTAAATGAGAAATTAAAAAGATATTCCATATACTCAACTTTGTTTTTCTGTTTAACGTTAAATATCATGGCAAAAAGTGGAGTGACATAACTTAGATATAAATCTGACAGTGTTCAAAGGATGATGATGTACTAGTTAATGAGTGTTAGTGAAAAAGTGGAGTAAGCAATGTGACACGGCCTATGATTGTACCTTTATTGAATTTCATGACAAGCAACACAGGCATGTATGCAATTTGTAATATAGATGCGTAAAATAAAAAAAAAAGAATAAAAAATTTAGATCGGGACAGATGTGCCTTTAGGAAAGACACATAGACCACAACGCACACTATAGTTAGAATTCAGCCCAAAATGATATGTTGGTACAGCTGGGAGGACTCAGACGTGGATGTGTCTCTATCTCGTCTCCAACGCTCCATCTCTGACCCTCCACCTCCACACGGGGCTGTAGTCCGGAGCAGGAACACAGCAGAGCTCCAGACCAGACTCCAGCACTTCTTCGTCGTGAGCCACCTGCTGTCCCTGCTGTGTCTCCAGAGTGAAGACTCTCTCGGAGATCTGAAAGAAGGAACATGGATAAGGATTAGATTCTTCTACTCTTGACGTAAAAAGAAAACGAAAAACGAGAAGATAAAAGGCCGACCTGATCACTGATCCCAGTAGCGATGTGGCCCACCTTCACCCGCCGTGTCTCTCTGATCCTGATGCTCCTCTTACAGAAGTCTCTGATGCAGACGTCCACACCTGGGGACGCAGGCGGACACATGATGTCAGGACTATATAACCGAATGTCGTCCTTAAACGTAAAGAGCTAATTTTTGTTCTTCTCACCTTCGAAACAGCAGGGTGGCGGTAACTGTGTGTGACCCAGCAGGTCCATACTGAAGACCTGCACGTCAGGCTGACTGTTGTAGGAGAAGACACCAGAGCTGAAGTCGTCTCCTGGACTCAAGGACCACCAGCCAGAGTCCTGGGAATAATGAAGAGAAAAACACAAAATAAACACTTCTGTGTGACCTTTTTTTTTTTTTTTAGCAAAGTCAGAGATTTATATGTTACCTTTTTGTCCCACGGCTCCCAATTTGAATATGCTTCACTGCCGAGACAGGACAGCAGCTGCACCTGCATCTCCGCAGACTGAGGCTGGGACAGACTGCTCAGGTAGAAGTCTGCAGAGTGACAGGACGAAACAAGTGAGCGCGATTCAGACCAGCTACGGTTAGAATCAGAAGACAGAGAGCTCACCTCGCTCCAGTTTACGCAGCTCCAGTTCGGACACAGTGGTGGTTCGGTTGTTTCTTTTATGGTTTGGCTCGTAGATGGGAGACTGCGGACAGTTTTTCGAGCTTCTCTTCGACGCCTCTGTCCCTGCTTCTTCTTGGTGTCCTCCCTTTGTCTCCTTTTCAGCTACGATCAGATTCTTTGGCTGTTCCTCCTCCTCATCACAGTCAATGCTGCTGTGATTAAGTTGCAGAGAAGAGGGTGGCTTGCCTGTGATGTACAGGGGTTCAGTGTAGGGTCCCTTTGCTGAGCTGGTCAAACCTCCAACTGCAGAGATATAAACATAATATATTCAGATGTAAAAGAGACTTGTGTTTGTGTATTTATGGCAAAAAGAACGCTCAACGTAGCTGGTATTTACAGCAGTGGTTTCCAAAGTGGGGGGCGGCCTACCTTGGGGGTCCATGGAGATAAATAATTGTATTTTTTGTGTGCCATAGTAGTTTTGAAGTGATGTAAATGTGATAAAGTCTGTCTCACTGCCTACTTCTGAACCTATAACTGATGTTGTATAATTGGACGACCTGCAGGATTACCTAGTACAGGAAGTACTTTTTTAATCCCAATTTGGCCTTTTTCCTTAGACGCTAATGCAAAATGCAAAACATTTGTGCCAGGTCATTTACCATCTTTCAAAGCTCTGTCTGTCTTTGCTTTGAGATCTGATGCCGACGCTCTCTTAACCGGATCCTTCTGCAGTCCTGCCTTGAGAACTTCCGCTGTGAGAGAACCACAATCTGGTGGGATCTCCCTCAAAGGCGGAGGCTCGTCAGCGATCTGTAACAGTCCAAACAAGCCGGGGTTAAAGTCTCAGCAACAGTAGCCGCTGCAAAAACACCGGGTTGATAGCTCGCGTGGACAACGGCGTGTCGGTTTTCAGCCGTTACGTCTACCTTCAGGTAAAGTCGACAGGTGTAGTATCTTGTCCATGGCTGACAGCCATTGAGCATGTGCAGTAACATACAGCAGCTGCTCCACACATCTGCTTTGGGTCCGCGGGGTTTTCCTTTAACAATCTCAGGAGACATGTGGGTCTCGGTGCCCTTTAGATCTGCATCATGTAACGGGAGAGGCAGAACAAGGATCAGGATACAAGGACATATTAATTACTGATTGAAATATGCCTCAGAGTAAAGGGAAGTACTTATAACTGTAATTGCATCTTAATCAAAGACAAAATAAAATATTATCTGCTTACTTCAATCACTAGAGGAAGACAGCAACGACATGTTGCGTTACCTTATTTTATCTGACTTCACTTTAGCGCCTAGCTTTAGCAGACGTGCTACTGAAGGTGGTCATATGCAAAACTGTCTTGTCAAAACTTCGTGTCAAGTTACTCGGTACTTACCGTTGGACACACTAAGGCTCCGTCCTTGGTTGTCCAGTCTCTCTGCATGTCCAAAGTCACACAGAAATGTGTGTCTACCGTCCTCCGACAGCAACACATTGTCAGCTGTGGGAAAAATACACGAGATTTTTATATTAACATTTCCTGTTCAATAATTATGATTTAAATATTGACATGTATACAGTATATATACAAATATTATTATGATTTTGTCTGTTATCAGACAAAAGTATTTTACTAACATCTGGGCTAGAAGGACACGACTCTGTGATATCCAGCAATGTATTGAAAATTCAATGTTTTACGTTACTTTTTTATTTTATTTTTTTTGTTTGTTTCTCAAAAGGTATGTCTTCAAACACCGGTTGGCCCGAATGTAATTACTATTTAATTGCAACGTCACATCATGCCTTAAATAAATGTGCCTGTCCTAAGCCAATACCAACACTAGATGGCGCCTGACGTTGAAAACCAAAGCAATATATCTGTCCTTTCCTTTTCGTCAGCACTTGTGACACTGTCTACGTCGTTCTTGTTTTTTTTTTATTACAAAACTATGAATGCGTTTCTGTGCAGTTTTACTGTACAGTTTCTCTCTCTGTCTGCCTTTCTACCAACTTCCTGCTCCCCTTCCCTCCCGCCCTCAGACGAAACCTCTGCTTCAGTCTCCTCTTTTTCGTGCTCTCCTAATTCAGCGCACATGCGCCGTTTCTAAGCAGCAGCGGTGAGTCACTGTGTGGGAAATTCCCAGCTTGTCGTTTTTCTCTGTGGCAGTCTGGTTTCACAACACAGGTGCTGAAGATCAAATCTAGACTGTGTGACACTGGTGTTCCAAAGAACAGCTGCACGAAGACGCCAGACCCAGCGAAGAGAACTAATTGGACACTTTGACTGACGTAGTGACTTGTTTGTTTTTCTCTCTCGCTGGGAAACGCAACTGCGAGTCGAGCTCGTACATTTTGATTCAATTAGGCTTACAAAGCAACTTCGTTTGGTATCAGTCAACAACAACGGCCGCAATTAAAAGATTTACAATGGCTTTGAATTGAGTTAATTCTTGAGTCAGCGCTTTATAACGCAATATTTAAGATTTGAAACACATGAAATAAATGGACAACAGCGCTTTTCGGATGGCTGAGAGGGAATAGCTACACAGTGCCAAAATTTGTCTCTTTTAACGTCAAAAGTACTGCCCCATAAGAAATAAGATTATGTAAGGTCTATCTGCTCTCATTATTAAGTCTGGTATTTGTTGTTATTTGAAAAGAGCTATTAAAAATATGTATATATCTTTTTTAAAAGATACCTACAATGTTATGCTATGCTATCAGTAGCATTTCACTGAGCACGGGTGTGTAACATACCTTTAATATCAAGGTGCACTACTTTTTTCTTCACCAAGTATTCCAGCGCTGTTAAAACTTGAAAGTGGTAGTGGAGACTCAAATCCTCCGGCAGTCGGCCGCGCTCGCTGATGAGCTGACCCACAGAGCCTGGAACAAAAGTCAAAGGAAGATACAGACTCAGATGTTAGTGTTAACAAAGTAGAGTATTTGACTGAAACGGTCTGTTTTGTATGATGACTCACGTAAACACAAAACGAAATGACGTGTTGGCCAACTGCTAACATGCTACGGGCTAGTACGTGTGCTAGATAATACCACCATGTACTCCTACACTTAAATCATTCACAAGGGCTGTCAAATGCGTACTTGTGATACTGTTGTACTTAAACAGAATTATCCAGATTGATGTATTTTCCTTTCCTTTTGTCAACAGTGTCACTATTGTGAAGACCCCACAGGAAATTTGGGACTTCATGTCACCCCTGAGCCCCAGTTTTAGCCTCTCCAGTGGACTAGTACCAACCAAGACGTAAAACAAAGGTATGAGATATGAGGTATGTTAACTTCTATTCATATTTAAAACACATTTAAACAAATGAAAACAGAACGGTATGATCAACATTGCCAGGAGTTTATCAAGTTTATACAGACTCCCATTAGGAGAGAGTTGTTTATAATAAAAAAAAAAAAAAAAATTACCGGATTTGTGGTCCATTAGGAGCAGAACATTTGGCCCTTCTCTGACCACTCCAAAGAGCTCCAGAACATGAGGAGATCTGAGGGTACTCCACGCACCCACCTCCTCACTGGTGAACCTCTTCAAAGCGATCTGTGAGAGATAAAAAAAAAAAAAAAGACTCATCACTTTCATGTTTCAAGTTGAACTTTCTGTTTTTTAAAAAAAGGACGCAGTCAGTGGGTTGCAAAAGCTACACTGCGGAGGAGCGTAGATTTAGATTCGCTGGATTCAGATTAGCTGCTATTGTTTCTAAGCTGACACTGTCCTCCAGAAGGAGTGGTAGGTAACTGTCAGACAAGGTGATGGCCGCTGTTTTTTTAGAGCAGCAACGATTGTGTTTGGTGTGACCGTCCCATGAGCGAAGGACAACCGTTACCTTTTTGACAGCAAATCTGAAGCCTGTGTTGACATCTTGAGCACCGTACACTTCCCCGTACGAGCCTTGTTTTATGAAGTTTGTGAGCATTAACTCTCTTCCTTCCCTGTACTCGGAGTCCACAGGTTTAATTTTCTGTCGGGGAAAAGAACAAAAAAAAAAAAAAACATTTCACAAACCCTTCATTTTTAAATTTCACAAAATAAGCGAAGCTTTTTCAAGCGAGGCCGAACCCACATCGTTGTAAAAGATGATCCCTTCGTTGCTGAAAGAATCCTCGGCGGAGACCTCGTCGTCCTCCTCTCTCACGTCTCTCTCCACAGCTTTGAAAAAGGGCCCTGCATAGCAAGGGTCCCCCTGACTCACGCTGCCCCTCAGGCCAGCGAGGGCCAGAGAACAGTCTCCTAGACTGCTGAGGAAGTCGGAGTCCGATTCGGTGTCCTGCCCTAAGGACTGAAGACCGGAAAGGGGGCCGTGCACCTGGCTCCCCCAGTTCAAAAGAGAGTGACTGGAGCTTGTGTTGTAAATCTGCCCCGTATACAGAGAAGGCCCTCGGTGCTGCTCCTCGGAGTTTTCATTGCTGCTACAGCCGGGGGTGCAAAGATTGCTCCTCCCTCCGAGAGATGATGAAGGCTCCTTCAGAAAACATTAACATTAGGATACAATGTTTGTATTTATTCATGTATGTATGGTCGGTATTTTAATTTTTCAAACAGACACTCACAAGGATCTGGATGGCAGATCTTCCACTCTCCTGTTCAGGGACACCAGAAGGCGTTCGCTGTCTGTGTGGCTGCTTCTCATTTTTGTCCAGCCTTTTTTTCCCTCTACTCTTTTGTCTCTTCCTGTTCTTTTTCCTCGGTTTGAGATGCAGCGATGAGTTGCCCAGCTCCTTCCCAGAGGCTGTTGTCGGACTGGCTACATTGTTGTGTTCTGAGGACAGGCTGTTGAAAAAAAAAACAAAAGGATTTTACATTTAAAATAAATCACAGCCACGCTGAGAGATTAGACGACTAGAACCGTGAAGACAACGACCGACGCTGTCGTACCTGCTGGTGAAGCAGTTAGGAGAGGGAACAAAAGATCGTTTGAAACAGGATGGACTGAACTCCTGGGAATCCTGGGTTTCACCTGATGGGAACGGTGGACATTTTAATCTCTTTTAGGATACCGTTAACACGTGATATTTTTTTAAATTAAGATAAATCATAATTACATTCAGCCTGAGCGATGAAGGTCGAGGTCTTCAGTGGCATTTCGCCGACCTGCTCTGCGGTTCCATGCGTCAAGAGTTTATTTAGCAAAGGACTCAAATGAGTGAAGCCCATTTTGCTGTCCTTTCCCTCTTCCTCTTCGTCCTCCGTCTCCTGTTCGGCGGCGGTGCATTTCGGGTAAGAGCCCTTCAGCTCCGTCTTAGGCGAGCCGGAGAACGGAGCTGTGGAGTTGAAAATCCTCTGCCTCACCGCCATTTCTTCTGGTAGATCTGGTCAAGGGGGAAATGAGAAATATTGACTCAATTAAATTGATCAAAAAATTGCTCTTTTTCTTATGGTGATCTGACAAGATGTTCCCAAACGTTTTCACGCCAAGGCCCCGCAAAACACCGCAATTACAAGGTGCAAAGTTAAACTGATGCTGGCCTACTGCTCAGTCGTAAATTCCATTGAATTGTCATGACAGGCATCATTAGCTTCAATTTATGCTAGTCATATCATAAACTTTAGTGTTTTTGATGGATAGTCAGTTCAAAAAGGTGACCATCATCAAAGAGAGAAACCTAATCTAATCTGTGGTGGACTAGTCATCATAAACACGTAAACATTAACCGACCGGCAGATCTATTTACCCACCTGCTGAAACCGCCTCAAACCTGGTGTGAGGCTGATTCCTTGGTCCAGAGGTGAAGGTAAAAGGTTTGGTTTCACTGGACCGAACCAGGTCGGTGTGAACACACCTTTAATGCCTACAAGCTGACGACTAAATGTTGTTTATTTTTTATTTTTAAAATAATACTTCAATTGAATTGTGTTTCCTCGTTGTCGTTTAGGGCAGTGGTGGGTCACGCCCTTACGCATCGGCCATTGTTTCCTGCACTTTTAGAGCTAGGTAGATCTACTGTGGAGGCCAAACTTCAACATGGTGTGGACAAGTGCGAAGCACTTTTTGTCTCTATGTGGACCGGCAAACTACTCAGGGTGACCTCTGTCTTCGTCTAGTTGTTGTTTAATTCTAAATTTTTCAGTTTAAGGTCAACTGGGCCATAAAATCCAACTTAAACGTTTGATAGGTTTCAAATAGCCGGTGACAAAAGATATTCAACCTTTGACTTGTTTTGACAGTTGCAATAAAATCTAAAGTACTAAACCAATCATACGCCGTAAACAGAATAACCGAGGTAGACGGAGTGTTAACAGTCCAAACACAGGGTAGGATTGCAGTTGCAGCCTGTTGCATCATTACATCCTTCACATTTGATCCCTGCATCCTGGGCCGCTCAACCCGCAACACTTTCTGCCCCCACCACTTGATCATGAACAGAGGTTATTTAAGAACAGACCTTGATGTTATGAGTACTAGCACTTCCCTTTCCTCCCGCCTGAAACGACGCGTTCTTGCTAATAGAGTATTTGCAGTTTCTCGTTTTCAGCAATTGTGACACAACTGACAAGTTATGTGTCAAATTTCAGCCTTGGCTGTTTCAGCTCTGTCATTTTGTTACATTGTGTGACCAATTCCCAAAGTGAACGATTACCTTGAGCTTGGTTATTCAACTGTCACTTCCTGATTACGAAGCTACACTGGGTGCAGTGAAAGTGCAGCGCTGATACCCCCCGGCGTAAGGAACTTACGTGGAAAGAAAATAGAAATAAAGCCTGCTGCCATAAACACACGAGTATGTAAACAGTCTGTGAAAAAAGCAGGTCGGTTTACACATACCCCTGTGCGCCAGCCTGAGCGGTGATCCTTTCCCCGTCTTGGAGTAATGTCTCTACATCAGTAAACCTTCTGCTCTGTTTGTGAGCATTTGATTTTCAGCACCACTTCATCTTTGGTGCTCTGCTCTGTTTGGTGCTGGCTCTCGGCCAATGAGGGGGAGGAGCTGGCTGACTTATGGGAAATGCATCTCTACTTCCCCATATTCCCCCCTCCCTGTCATTCGCTCTAGCAGGCCTTCTTGCTCTGCCCTCTGATGAAAGGACAACATGCCTGGTTGTGCTTTTGATGATTGTGAATAGTGGCAAAACTTGAATGTCAGCTGCCTGTTCCCCGACAACATTTAAGTTCTACACTTTCAAATGATTTGCTTAAATCAACACAGACCAATTGAGTCCAACGAAAAGCGGGATATCGGTACGATGAAGTACTTCACGCTACTTTTTAAGGGTGGGAATCTCCTGTGCACCTCAAGATTTGGTTCTGAATATGAGGCCAACAATTATGATGACAAAATGACTGTTAAATAATTATAACAATATATAAATCGCTGCGCATTTTGTATATGTATGTATATCTATATGCAGCATTTATTGAATGCGAACGGAAAACAAATACAATTTGTTTCTGAATGACAAAAAAACAAAAAAGAAAGCCAAGAAAAAAAATCCCTTAGAGGGCACAGAATTCCTCAGAACAAACTAAACATAGTTCACAGAGAAATTCCATTATGGTATTAAAATAATTTTAAAAGATTTTCAACAAAGAATATGTCAGGGGAGCTCTGCCTTGGCTGCGTCATTTTTGCTGATCAGAAACAACAGGAGTATGTTTTTCCAACTAAAAACAAGAATGTGGGTGTTGCGTTTTAGTTTTTAGTCTTTTACCAGATTATTTATAGTATTTCTCGTTCGTCTCACATCCTCTCTCTACTTGTTAAAAGCTGAAGTACTGTCGCCAGTCAGATTTCGAGACAGGTGTTATTGTTCTTGGGTCTTGGGTCTTGAGTCTCAAGTTCAGCCCTGTCTTCTGAACCTCTAACGCGACTAGGATGCACCTGCTATGTTTCGTTTTCCAACTGGTTAGGAAATCTACATGACGAAGCAACACAAACAAAGTGTCACACCACCACGTCGTCATTAGAGATAATCATCGCAATTCTAAAGGGCACACTCTGTAGGTGATGGTATTACATTATGTGATCTATTGTAACCTACCTAAACATCAATACCTAAGCATGTAGAGAAACACGGTAGCTTTCATTAAACTAAAGGTATTTTTGCCTACACTGATGAGAAACATGAGAAAAACAGCCTCTGATATAAGTGAAAAAAGTTAAAGTTAAAGTTGTCTAAATAAAATGCATATTTAAAAAAAAACAAACAATTGTTACGCTGTTAGGAGAAAAAGGCCAAAGAAGAAACTATTGACCTTTTGGACACAGCAGAACAAAACCATAGATTTTTCTGACCTTTTTGTCCTTTGACATTTAAAGAAAAACTTGTGGCTATTCACAACTCATTCTACTCATTACATAGATATGTTTTTTTTTAATATTTATAAAAACATTTTAAAGCAAGCACACAAACTTTCAACCACCCAGTGTCTTGAAATGATTTCACTTTTTTTCCCCCCTTCTCTTTCAACAGCAAGAGCTAGTGCACGAAAAACCACTACAGAACACAGGAAATGTAGCGTTAGTGAGAGTCTTTGGTGTGTTATTACCAAAGGTGCACGAAAGTTCCCCGCTGCTTTCTGCGATTTTTTTTTTCCTATTCTCTCATCCAGTATCTGATTTCTAGCAATAAAGTCGTGAATTATGTTTTTTTTTCCCAATGATCAGCAGTCTAAACAATATAATGAACAGCATCATAATGATGCTTTTCTGGTGAGTCAGCAGAAACGGTAAATATATCAGGGCTGTGGATTTCTGGACTTATTATATTGATTACATAAACACAAAGCACTGTCCTGCAGCTAATATGAAATACCAGGACTATGATTACATTTTGGCGAAACCTAAAATGATTAATTTCAGGTTTCATTCACTTGCTTCTTAAATTAATAGCTTTTAGGTTTGTCTGATTGGTGGGCTTTTGCAGGAGATTTAAACCAGCTGTGTCACAGCGGCTGATTTTTCAGGTTTGTCGTGGTGTAACAGAAATACCCAGGATATTTCAATATACTGACTTCAACTCTTGAAGGCTAGAACTGCGACTACAGACGACGTTGTTCACGTTTATATAGAAACTTTGAAATCTTTGGAAAGTTACTTGTGGGTCTGTGATCTCTGCAGGGACAAATAAAGCAAATAACTTGGTTTTCCTGGTATGATATGCAGACTTTGAGTTAAAAGCCCTTGCAGCCCTAATAAATACCTCCAGAGGATATTTATTTTGTCCGAAAATGTCAAAGATGTAAGTGTTTAAGTTTCCACAGAAATGTCATTGGAGTAGTGATTAGTTGTCTTACATTGCCTAGTTCTCACAGACAACCTCGGAGTTTATTTCCTCATAAAGCTGGTGACCAAACTGAGCCAAGTTTTGTACACCCACACAGATTAATAAAATTCCAAAGCCATTAGTAAGGAGAAAGAACAGGGACTCAACCTGGAGTTGGCCATCGAACATACACACAGGCTAGATTTTCTCTAGAGAAACACGCGCGAGCAAGGGCTTCTCTGTAAAATGTCCTTCAACGCACGCATGCACAAAGTAGGAAAGTAAAGAAACCTGCGCACACAGGGTGGTAATAGCAGAATAAGATGGGTTGCATTTCACACATTTATGAATAAATAGTGTACATTTGTATTAAGGGATCCACTGATCCGGCCAGTGATCAGACTTTGGAATGATCAGTCCTGATCAATGACCAACTGGTGATCTAATGTCTGTTTTGCAGCCAGTCTGTGTTCTGTGTCAGACAACGTGCGAGAGAGCCCACACTCACAAGCTGGCGCTGTCGTGACAACTGTGAAGTTGTTCAGAGTGACAAACGCAGTTGAGCTAAACTGAGTTGATGTTTTTTTATACAAATATTGAGTTACTGGAGCCATTTTGAGTCGTGCAAGCGTTTGTTTGATTTGACAGTGAACGTGGTAGATGACACGAGAACTCATCTGTCAGTGGTTAAAGCAGAGATGTTTTTTTGTTTTTCAAAAACAACCTGCTATTAATGCTCAAGAAATAGCACTTTACTTCACGTTGTCTCTCGGTGCCCCGCTGCACGTATTACTTGAAAAAGACAAAGAGTGCACTTGAACTCTGGAATAAAGACAGTTAATGCTTTGTTCTTATTTCTGAAGAGAACACCTGTGACTGGGTGTGCTTGCAGGAAATGTTTCACAATAATTCCTTGTTTTGAGAATAATATTTTGCGCGGAAAAACACTTGCTCTTTGTATATGGTGTCAATTTAAGGAATTCAGAGTTAGGTAAGTTTGGTATCGGCTAGTCACACTTACGAAAAAATTGAAAATCAGCAATCATGATTATTTTGCCCGGGATATTTATCTGAGTGATATACACAAAATAAAAACATTACCCAATAAGCTATAGAAAAAAAAGTATTTTAACATCATTTATTTTTGTGTTTGAAATTTAAGTTTGAGATTGTTTAAAAAGAGCGTGACAAGCCTAAATATTCAACACAGTTGTTTGGATAAAATCAAACAATCTTTATGATCAAAACCTCTTTGTTGCCTTGGCATAAATATTGGAAAAGGACATTTGCAATAACATGATTTTGTCTTTTCCAGGAAAAAACCCAGGCCAAAACTAATTAGCTGTAAATGCAAACCAGGAGTTTGACTTTGGACAAACAGGCCAGCATTGTACATGCACAATACAATGCAGTAGCAGAACTCCAGGGCTGGCTGATGTAAACCACTAAATCTGGACTGAGTTTATGATGACTTAATAAGGCAAAGGAGAGCTGACAACAATGGTAAACATAGAGATTGCTCTTATGTCCACTAATGTGGTACAGTTCTTGTTCTTGAATCCAACTCGTAATTCAAAGCATTAATTTCCCAGCCTTATGGCTGCCCCAGCCATTAGGTAGTGACACACCAGTACCAGTGTTAAAACTGTGTAACACATTAAGAAAAGTTTCTTTCCTTCACATTTGGAATATATAATACAAAATAATTTGTAGTAAAACGCATAGATTAAAAGTATCCAAAATGCACACACACACAAAAAAAATCACACAATTGTTCACCTAACTTTGTGCATTCGAAGTGCGTCCAGATGTAATGCACACATTCAGACTTGCTGACATGCAGCCATTTCAGTGTTCCCATTATTGTTGCATTTAGATAAGTCTATCTTATTGTCTTGTTCCATGTCTTTTTCTACAGGCAAAAGTGACACATCTACGAACAGGAGAACAATGATTTTAATCAGACACATCTGGCTTCAATAATCTTACGTTCAGTTTTTTTTTTTCTCGGTTTTTTTTTTTTTTACTTTTGTACCTTAACTGCTTGGACCGAGACCATCACTTACTCATACTATACAGTATTAAACTCGTTATCATATTTAGTAATAACACATGTAAATAACTTTGTCTCTGGGTTAATTAATACAAATATTATTATAATAGACCGTATGCGTGTACAGTGATCAACACTCCACTTCCCTCTCTCTACAGTCACCGCCATTTCAAGTAAAACTTGAGGACGTTGTGTTTCTGCCATTAGTATGAAACAAAAGTTTGACATCGTTTTCTAGGAATAAAACGTGTATTGCTCTACGAATTACATTTTCATCTATACAAGAAAACCAATTAGAAATAACAATATTTTTTACTTCTTACCGAGCTCGTATTCTTGTCTGAGGCGTCGGCCGAAGAACAGCATCAAATATGTCAAGTTAACAGAACTGTTTCCGGTTACCCGTCTGTGCAAATAAAATATGATTTTTAGCATATTTTGATCCTATAAATAAATACCTTTATTTTGCTTTAGTACTTTATTTTTTTAACCACTCTTACACATTTGTTGCCATTTAGACCTGAAGTAACATTTGTTGTTTATTGCAATAAAACTTAAAATTGCAATACTATAAGTTTGAAGCACTTCCTGTTAGTAAAGACGGCGGGATTAATTTCCTCAAAAGGCCACAAACCCATCTGAAAAAAACAAACAAACAACAACAACAACACAAAACAATAATACAAATCCCACCTAAATGCCGAAGCTACAAGTTTGCCGGTAGAATATTGAGTTAGTTGCGCCGCAGAGAATTAAAACTAATTTAAAAAGTTTCACAGCATGCATTATATGGTGAATGGCAGTGCTAAGTGGGCCAAGGTAAAAGTGGGAGCTGGTTGCAGGTTCCATATTAATTGCCTATTTGTAGTAACTGGTCACCACAATGTAGACATGTTGCCTGTACAACATCAAACCTGTAAGTACCTTATATTTATAAAGTCTTTAGGTCAACAATGTAACAAATAATAAACATGTTAGTGCTGTGTATTTATGACAGCCTACTTGTTATGTATCATTGGAACATTCCCAATGATACATAACAAGTAGGCTAAATTATAAAATGTTGATATTGATGTTGTTTTCAACACCATGTCACTTTTCTACCTTCACCCCATTCTGTTCCAGCAATTAAGCCACTGTTCAGTCAAACAGCCTGTTGTTGTACAAAAAGTTATTTTACTCCATCTTTGTTTACTTCTAATTCTATTTTTTTCTTCATACATAACCCATACCTCTATCACAGACTTTTGTATTTCAGGCAGTGATTACTGTGTCGTAACTGTACATCTATGCAGATGTAACTTATGCCTTACAAACCCCTCTTATACATTTGCTATTATTCGTTTATTTTAATTTAACTCAAATTAAGGTATAATTTGGGAAATATAATGTTAAACCGTGCTCAGAAGAGTGTAATACTGTAATATAAAAAAGGGTTACGTGTACGGACACAGAATTGCCACAAGAGGGCGACATAAACTATACACTCAATGCACGCAGCAGCAATACACTTGATTAATAATAATATTAATTGAAATGAATATCATCGCCGTCTATTGAAGGTTGTAATAATACTGATGTCGCGTCATGTTCAATAGAGGTGCACTATAAGTCTCGCTTAGTAAATTTGTAAGAAAAGAAATCCACCAAAAACACAAATAAAATGTATTATTATTATTTAAACTCTTCATTTAGTAATATTTAGTAAAGTAGGATAATATATTATTTGAATGGGTTTCTGCTACACAGAAATGTAAGAGTCCAGCAGCATGCAGACATGTGTGTGAGTAAGAAATGTTGTCCATTTCCCCCCAGTCAGGATAAACAAGTAGGGATGTCTAAGGCAGGTGAACAAGCTTAAAAACTGTGCTCAAATCACTATTGATTACCACTATGGTAACTCCTGGGCTAGAAATGATTTTTCTTCATTAGGTCTGCCCGCCCATTGATAAACAAGTAGGGATGTCTAAGGCAGGAGAACAGAGGCAAAGAGCCAGTGCATTACGCCTTGTCTATTATAAATGAGACCAAAATACCATAACAGGTCCAGATGTACAAGACAACCAAAGCTGCTGATTTGTATAACATAACATCATTAAACCAACACCATTAAAATGGTTTAGCATTTATACAGGTACGTAATGCTTTTGTGCAAGACATTCAGATTTATTTTTTAGGCATTTAAGTCAAATAGGAGGAGTCGAGGAATAACATCCGAGGTACAGTTTTACACTTAAGGTGAACAGAATTATTTTGTTCAAACCTGCTACATTTACATTACATTTTTATCAATCAATCAATCAATCTATCAATCTATCTATCTATCTATCTATCTATCTATCTATCTATCTATCTATCTATCTATCTATCTATCTATCTATCTATCTTTACAGTACGTCGCATACTATATTGTAAAAGAACTCTTGAAATTAATATGTTGGGGCTAAGTTGACGATGTAAACAATGAACAGAACTGCATTCATACACACATGGCACTGTGACACCTCGGTGAAATTTGTTAGTAAAATGTCCATGTACAGAGAGTGCGCATCGCCACCACAGCCGCACAGCTCTGGAGGACACACGCAGACGCAGCCGAAGACAGGAGCTTATGCTGCAGCTGCTCGGTTCAGAAAATGGCCGACAGATTTTCTAGATTCAACGAAGAGCGTGATTTCCAGGTATTGTTGTACATTTGTTTCGCACATATGCACAGCGTAGCTCGTGCATATGTGCCTCTTTTTACAGTGGCAGCCTCGACATGCGAGGACCGAGCAAAAACGGAAGCGCGAGTTTTGGAGTAGAAATAGCTAGTTAGCATTTTAAGCTAACTGCGACTTTTCGATTTAACTTCAGTAATATGTTACGTTGAATCTTTTGCGTTGGTCGTTAAACGTATAAGTGTATACATATATATTTGATGTGCTCGACTGTAATGCTAACTCAAAACCCACATTTGCGTCTGTGTGACCTTGGGTACGCTAGTTTATTTATGGACACATGCTAATCGTGGCTAACTGTTTAGCCAATACAAGTCGTCAAACGCACACTGACTGAATGAATGTATCGTTAGCCTAAAACGGCTGTATCATGTTGACAGCCGCCAGGTCGCGACTATACGTTTATCCAAACCCTTCAAATGTTAGATTTTTAAAACATGGAACGCCATTAAAAATCCAAACGCCCTTCGTTTCTCATTTGCTGTGGTGATAAACTTTTTGTCTTTGCTGTTTTCCTCCGCACGATTTTAAATTCCATGGTATTGTTTAAGTCACATTTGTAGCAATGGTTCACTGCGAAGTACAGTAAAGCTGTAACGATTGTTGTCGTCATGTCATTGACAGATAAACAAAAACAAAAAAACACTGCCATAATGCTGTGTCATGACCAGAAATGTGTCGGAGGCTAAATTAGGCAAGATCGGAGGACAGGACAGTGTCTGTCCTGTTATATTCTTTGGAATTTCAGCGCAAGAAACAGCCTATTATACATGTTTGCAGTGTCTGTATAAAATGCATGCCCCCCAAAAAGAGAGTTTTATTAAACACAATATTAGTTAGTTTTTATTTTATTTTAAACATTGGTAAATAATTATGTTCTCAGTTACAATTATCTAGTCTTATTTTATGAAATATTTCTGTAATTAATACATGTTGTATTTTCATGTGAAAAACTAATTATTAATGGTGTGAATGGGAAGCAAAATAGATTGTGTACTGTGTGTGACTGACACCTTGATCATTCAGTGGTGATGTGTGTGTTTACACTGGTGATGTCTGCCGATGTCAAGTTCCTTTATTTCATACATGTTTCTTTCCTGATATAATGCATTTTTCGTTGACAGTCTGACAGATGTTGACATTTAAAAAGCCAAACATCCTCAAGTATATGCATTATTTTGATGTAGTTTATTTAAATCAAGAATCTGAGAGTTCAGTTTATTCTCAACACACCAATGGAAGTTCTTTCTGTTGTCTATCTGTAATCTAAAACCACACCCAGTAACGGACATCTACAACACATTAGGCACACTATACTATGCTGAAATGTGTCTGCTCAACAGAGAGAACAGCACCCTCTGTAATTGTTGTTACTGTGAGCAAGAGTAATCTGAATTTGCAGTTACAAAAGGTTCAAACAAGGTCTGACTGAGGGCTGTGAGTAATTTAAAATGCAAAACTCAAGGGAGGTGTGCGCTCTCTCTTCCTGTTTTAGGCCGTAGTCTTTATATTTTGAGGCAGACATTTTAATTCAAACCCCATAATAAGAGGACGTTTTGGGAGAAAGTAGTTGCTAATAAAATTTGGATGTATAATATTTGTTGTTGATTTTTTGCACTATTATGCATATTTGCTGATAAATGTCTTGAAGAAACTTAACAATGTACCTCCTGACAAGTTCAAATATGTCTAAAACTGTCTATGTCTTTTTCCTCTCTGCCCACTGTGTTGCTGTCCACAGGGAACTTAGTATTCTGCTGCCTTTTGCAGTGAGTTTGAATGAATGTGTGGTCTGAATGAGACTGTTGAGGACTAGTCCAGCATAGCACAGTAAAGCTTTGTGTTTGTTTGTGTGAAATCTGTTCTGGGTGCATTCATGTTCTCGTTATTGTGAAAGTTTCTCTCTCTGACTAAATGGATTAAATCTTGCTGCAAAGCAACACAGCTCAATAAACAGCTTAAATATGGTCTACCTATTATTCACTGCACAACCAGTCAGACGACTCTGATGATTTGTTGTTGAAGCTTTCGCGTGCGGTTAATCCAGAGCTGCAAAAAAAAAAAATAAATAAAAAAAAAAATGAGGGGGATATCTGAGCAAACACACACACAGCCAGCAGGGGTATCTCATTTCCTAATACAGAGTGGAGTTCTGGATCTATATCAGTCGAAACACTAATGGGAATTCACTGGTATGCAGTGAAAATGCATATCGGAAGTGAGCGAAAAGATTATTTTCTTGCAAATGTGTGCAGTCAGGGTAATGAGGATGAAATCAGCAGTGAGCGTAACACGCCACCGTGCTGGTGACTGCACATTAAGTGGTCCAAGCCGGAAGCCATGAGGGGCAGGCAGGAAGATATCGATTTATTCATAAATTCATCTCTTGCTCTACCCCAGGATCTCAACTTCTCCTAAGCTATGGCTTCAGTTTTGCTGATGCAGTCTTGTTTGCTTTGAATCAATGATTGCTGTTGTGGCATCAGATGACCTCATTATTGTGAGCTGATCTGAGCTCCTGCTTGGCTCTGCAAAACCGGTCTCCCTATAGAGTTTGAATGGTAAAGCCTCTGGTATGACCCAACCTATTCTCAATTTTATACGCTGTGCATATTAAGTTTATCCCGAGGTTCCACTGTACTGCGTTTCTGTTCTCAGTGAAGGGCCAAAGGAAAAGGGATTCACAAACATGACCTTCGTCTCACCTTCACTGCACAAGTGAGGAAGCCATTTGTCTCGGTCAGAAGCAGCTCAACAAACACACTTCTTTTGCTTTGACCTATTACCAAGCCAGGTCCAACCCTGTCTCCAAATATAAACACAAATGGCCGGTTTCTTCAGGTTCATCCTTCTTCAGATTCAGTTGGGAAACTGACTTTGCTGTAATAGCTGAAATAAATTTACTAAGGAGAAAATAGTCAAAATCTTTCATTGGATTTTCATAACTGAATAAACTTAATACATTTTTATTCAACCTTTTTTTTATACATGTACTGTTTACTAAATATTCCTTACTAAAATAAGCTTTTGTGATTGGTGTCCTTGCAGGGTGGAAATCACTTTGACCAGTATGAAGAGGGGCAGCTGGAGCTGGAACAGGCATCCTTGGACAAGCCCATCGAATCGGTAAGGCTGTATTCGTCATTTTGAATTTATTGGATCAGCTGTGAGAGTGGATATGATTGGTCCAGGGAGGAGTAAAGAACACATTTTTTATTATTACATTCTGTTCATGTAGAGGCATTCAGTGTTATGATTGCACTCACCACATAACCTGTAGAAACACATGTTTGTCTCTGTTAATTTCCTGTTAAAGTCCCTCCCACTGCCCCATGTCCTTTGCCTACTCCATTTATTGTGACAGTAAAATTATTACTTTGATTAATTTGAGGACTGTTTCTATTTAGAGTATAATCTTAAATGTTTATTTTGTTTTGATAATTTTCCATTTTTAATACAATATATTGTAGCGAGGAATTGAGTGGATTATTGACATCAGTGGATAAAGCACTGTCTTTAAAGGAGACATTAGCCTAAAACGTAAATTTTAGTTTTTAAACAATCCAAAATACATGTTTTGCAATGACTAAAATTTTGAAATTAGTTGAACTTGAATTCATTTTTTAAATAAATGTGAAAATATAAAAAAATTAGGTCCTCTATGTTTTTTATAGTAGTACAGTTGTCAGCATTTGTATTTCTTTTTTTTGCAATGTTAGAAATATATAAACCCTGCAGTGCTTATTTCACTTAATCTAGCATGGGAGAATGTGCACATTAGATGGTGTGTATGGCTACATTTGTTTGTGATCGTTTGTATGTGTGTGTTGTTTTTGTGTGTGTGTGTCTCAATGTAGCTATAGATTTGATGTGTAAGTGTACAGTGTTTGTGTCTGTAGGACAGTTATATTATTGTACACAACTTGGGGTATTCGACATTTCTCTCCTGCAGCGAATTGGCCCCCTATTAGCTAAGCAGCAATGACCCGGTTTGTATTTGCACGCTCTGCTTTTCTTACTCCTATCTTTAGGGTCCTTGTAATGCTTTGCTGACTATCTCTCTTTTCTTTCTCTGTCTCTCTGTTTGCTATCACAATCTACATATTTTCTCTCTTTTTTCTCAATCACCAATTCTCTCTTGCTCCCTCCCTTTTACACAGTGATTCGGTGTACAGTACCCTCTGTCATTCTGTGCTGGCATGGTGCTTGTGCAACTGGGACTGCATTTTTTGCTGAAGAGGCACATCAATAATAGCGCAGGCATCTTTTTTTTTTTCTTCTGTCCTTCCCTGTTTCCACCCCCTTCATCTACTGTCTCTCTAGCACCGTGGTGAGCAGGTCCGAAATCCTCACACCCCCACAGTAACGTGGCTCCACCGAGCAAAGTTGAGGCTTTACCTCATTGGCTAACCAAATAAAAAAAAAAAAAATTCTAGTCTTGTATAACCATTAAAGTCTAACAAACATATGTTGCACTTAAATCTAAATATATCTATATATCTAAAAATGTTTTTTGTATTAAACAACAAAATAATTAAAGCAAGTGAACAAAGTATTAGACAAATTAGGCTTAGAATAATAATATTAGTCTTTCTGCTCACTGTAACATGGTCGCAATGTTTGAAGACACCCTTCATTTTTGTTAAATTGTCAATTTGAATTGTCAAGTGTTACTGACAATAATTTTCCAGATGTGGAGGGTGAAAAAGATGGACAAAAGCCGCCTGCTCACCTGGTCTGAGTGGCTCTTCTCTCACTCCTGCGCTATTATTTATGGAGGGGCCCTGGGGGCCATGCTAGAGCATCACACAGATCTTCATATATCACTGTTATTAGATTTGGTGCATCCACTTATCATATGCTTCTTAAAAGTTCCAAAAAGTTCCAGTACAACATTGCTAGTTAACGTTTAATCGGCTTAAAGCCCTCATAAATAACTGCAACACTTATCAACCTTTTTGAATAAACAGTAATACGAATTTGCTAGGGACTGATGGTCAATGCTGCAGCCCAGTTTCTCAGAGCCCCTCCTTTGCCACCTGTGTCTAAACAAGAGGCAGCTAGAGGTCTGTGGTACGTTTTTGAGATCTTTGTTCTCTTTTCTCTCCTTCCTTTCTGGTTTAGACTATTTCTAACATTGTTTTTGCATTGCATGTCTTAACTTGGTAGATTCTATATACAGTTTTTTTCCCTCAATACTGTCCCAATGGTTACTAAAGTCCCACTTGCCCTCTCCAACTCATTGTTCCCATATTTTTTTCCCCAATCCAGTTCCCCAACCTAACCTCCTCCTCCCCTTACCTGATCCCGAGCGATATGCAGTGGGCAGCCTCAGAGACACAAAAGCATGCACTCTAAACAGCAGCAATAAAAGGTCACAAGTTGATTAATAAAAACATTAATTAATAACATATTATTTATTTATATATAGTGTAGCTCAGATAATAAGTGCAGCTTTAACTGAACCCTCTCTGGTTTTCAGTTAGACTTCAGTTGCTCATTACTAAGGTACGACTACTCAAAGGTAAAACCCAACACTTCTAAATTCTAAGCCTTTTCAGCTGACACATCAACTGCCGATTGAGCACCAGTAATCAGTAGATGGAATGTGTTCAATGTTAAAATTAAGGATACCCTGGCGTTTCAAAACCAAGGTTTGACGAGGCAGCGTCTTTACTCAACCGAAATAATTTTTCACTCAAAGGTCTTCAGTTTTCAGGTGAGTACAAATCTGCAAATCTTAAAAATAGTCATCGTCTAATCGACTTAAATACCTTTCTGTCATTTTTCATCGATCTGTGTTGTTGAAAAAAGGCCTGGTGCTTACACGATGGATCTTTGGATGTTTGTAAAAAAACATATTTACTTTAATTTAATACTTCAAAATAGATTAAATTATGTACAGATAAATATGTGAAGTGACCAATAATACCATTCTTAGATACCCTGAGGTCTGTAGGTGGGTTCCCTGCATTTCCATCCCTTCCATATGTTGTCAAGCACTGTGCAGAAACAGCACAATGCACATTTTTTGGTTCATCACCCCTCCTGTAAGTCTTTTGTTTGGATAATAATTTTTTTTTTAATTTCTTCTTTCTACATACTAACACTCCATTGGTTTTTTGACATGCCTACCTTTTCTGTTTGTATACAGTGTTATGTTTGTTTAAAGAAGAGAGAAGTTTGCATTTTTTGAAAAGTAGAGAAGCTAGCAGAATTGCAGTTGAAAGCGTTTGGCCGGTTTCTTACGTTGTGTCACGTGTGACTGTTTTTTTGACAGCCCAGTATTTTAAAGCCAGGTTCGTATGGAAATGCCTTCACTCCACTTGCACTGCTGTTGGACTCGCCGTCGTTGCTTTCATCCGTCTGTCTGTAAATTCTTTTGGTGAACTCATCTGTTGTTCAACATGCAGTCTGCTCCTCATCTCTGCCTGCCGATCCTTCTAGAGATCCTTTAAAAAAAATTAGCTTAGCTGTAGCAACTGGTGCCTTATCCAATCTGCCCTTGGTGTTCTAATTTGGTTTTAAAGAGGCAAAAGTTAAAACTCAATATATTGTGACACATGTTCAACATGTGTCCAATGAGGCTGTCGCTTTTTTAGGAGACAAAGGGGTTTGAATTTGTTATTCAAAACAACATAAATCTTAAGGAATGCATACACTTGCCAAACGTAAATATGTATGACAAAAAGATGTTTTTGTCTTCTTCTAGAAAACTGGCACTTGGGTGCTGGAAAATCTTGACTTAACTCACCAACAGATATTGCCAGTGCATAGTAACCCGCTGCTGATCGCGTTGACACAGATTAAACAACCAGAAGCCTGAATGCAGTAGAACAACAGCAACAGCATTATTGCGAAAAGCAAATACCATCTGTCAATATTTTTAAAGCCGAGTCTTTGCTTTTGCGTAATTAGTGTGATGACCTTTACGAAAGCGATAGCCTCTGTATTTTCTTTAAAAAAAAAAAGGGTTAAAAAAGGGTTTTACAACAAAATGATTTTAGCTGTAAAACCCCCTTTTTTTAGTTTTGCTTTTTTTTGGTTATTTTTCTTTGTAGCTTGCAGCCTCCAGAGTAAGATAAGCATCCCTGTAATGCTGCAGTATAAGACAGAATCATGCCCAATGTCAGTGGGAGGGGAGTCCACTGCAGCAAATTCTGCACTGTTTTTCTTGACATTGAAGTCAGGACATTTCTTTCCTCAGGCAGAAGAAACCCAGACACGAGCGTTTAATCCTTAACATCCTATACGTACACAAAAGGGGAAAGAAAGAGCGAGTTACATCCAGTCATAAAATAGTGTGTTTTTGTTTCTGTGCCCTGGTTATAAGTTCATACAAACAGGCATTTTCCAGTTCTCCCCACCACGTAGGGCCAAGTGCAGATTCCTCTCTTATCTCATCTTGCAGCGGAGAGGGTTTGGAAAGTCTCACAGCTATAACATGAAAGGGGGGGGAAGACCCTAACAAAAAAGGAAAACAATGTTTTAATGCTTAGACTATGTGTTAGATTGGGCACAGTGATGCACCAGTACGCTTATAAAATCCCAGCATAGGCCAAAAAACCCCATTGAACCAACGCATCCCAAAGATGGGCAGAGATGTAGTGTGTGCTGTGTGTGTAACCACCACTCCCCTTCACTAGCACTAACCTATCCAAAACCCAGCTCACCTTCACTGCCCCACAAACGCACCTTCATCACGGCTCAGCCTGCTCTGTTCTGCCTCTCAGTCCCGACCTCCTCTTTTGTCAACTAACTGAGCTCTGTTGAGCCATCACCTTCTTCTCTGCCTGATCCACCTGAGACTAACACCCCCCCCCCCCTTTTTTTCCCCCCCCCCCCCAACCCCCACCCCTTCATTGTATGTTCATTCACACCGACGGTCCTTTTTGTTAAAACTCTTTTTTAACAAAAAGCTGCATGCTGTTTTTTTCTGTTTTGTCCCAAAGCCCCTCACCTTCTGTTTGTAAAAGAAAATGTAAATCTATTTGTGATTATAAATATTCTTTTTGTTTAGTTAGTACGCTTTTTTTCTTAATGGATCGCAGCATTCTGGTAATTGTTAGACAAGATTGGAATAGTTATAATCACAACAGAAAAACACTACTTAATAAGAAATCTCATTTCCTGTTTATTTGTGCTCGGAATATGTACTGTAGTGTGTAGTGGTGGGATGGTCTTGTATTTCACTAAATGTTTTTATTTTTTTTGCTGACCCACACCAGTGATTTAACAGTCTGATGTGTACATCGGGCCCCACAATGTACTAGGAATTTGTCTTGTGTACGTTCCTAAACTTGAAGTAGCATCAATAACTTAATTATCCTTAGTATTAGAGACACTTAAACTTAACAAACAGGTTCATTTGCTAGGGTTAAAAAAAAGAGAATAGAGAGAGCCACTTCAAAATCTGAAAATGTAAATTGTGTTGGTTCAGTCTAGCTCACAGTGGTTGGTTTATCAACTTTAACTAACTTTAAACCTAACAGCAATTACTGGTAAAAACCTTAGCAATGTAATCCAACTCAACTCAGATCGAGGGAATAGTGCAACACTTTTGAAATCACTCCTTATCTGCAGTTCAACAGCAGTGTCACGGTTGTCAAGTCTTAAAACAAACTCTGGTTTGGTTGCTCCCTTAGTGCAGTTTAATTAAAGATTTTTAAATGTTACCTTGACGCACATAAAGTTCAAGGACTTAGACTTTATTGACTTTAATTAAATGTAAACCCAATACAAACCAAACCCACTCCTACGGAATGTCAAAGACTGAACTTTATAGAGTGAAAAATTAAAGCTAAGGCTTACCAGGCTTACAGCATGGAACGTCGAGAATATAGATTTTTTTTTTCTGGTTTTGCACAAACTCAAAAAGTAAGCTATAAGTGCAAACATAACCTAAAACACCACAATATACATTTATCTACGCTTATATCACTTTTTTCGTATTTCAAATAGTTAATGTCATGTATGTCGTGTTTGTTGAAGTAATAAACAATTTAAGATATACCAAAAAAAAAACCTTGATAAAGACTTGGTGACAGTCGGTTTATTACAGTATTACAGCTGTGAGTGTCCAGGAACACGAACAAGAACCTTTTCTAGTACATTTGAAGGGCCTAAATGCACACAATGTCTTCCTCTCCTCACCTGCACACCCACATGCCCCCCCCCCCAACACGCGTGCATTTTCTGTCCACCCTGGGCCTTGTAATGGTAATCCAAGGCCCACTATCTCCACCTCTGTCTCTTCCTCTTGCTGTATTTTTTGTGACAGCTGCATATGTTTTATGGTGTTCCCCTTGTTATGGTTACGGAATCACAGCAAGCTTGGAGTTTCTGGTCTCTGTTTTTTGTTAATGCAAGATTTCCATACCTGTTAAGTGTCACCTTTCTTTGTGTACTAAGCCAGTGGTTCATATATGTATGTGTGATACATATATTACCCTCCTCCTTCCACCTCCTCCTCTTAACTTCAGTTAGTAGATGTGTCCTGTCGTGTTATCCTTACCATCCTTAAAAAAAAAAAAAAAAAAAAAAAAAACTGAAATGCTCACGCTTAATGCCTTTTTCTTAAAAAAAGTTTTAAACTGCACTCCCATTTTAGAAAGACACACTGTAGCCTAAAAGCTACACATAGCTTCATGTGTTCATCATAGTGAAAGAAATCTATTCCTTTCCCTCAATCTGTCCCCACCCACCCCAACTACCAATCCTTGTGCTGGAAGACACTGATGTTACACGCTGTAGGTGATGTGGATGATGATAATGACGATGGTGATGGTGGTGGTGGTTGTGCTGCTGATGATAGTGTGATCTTGAGTGTTTCATTTATTTTGTTTGTGTTTGAAACCTGTGTCAAAGGGGGAAAGCTGATCTTATTTTTGGAATGTTTTTGGTTCTTTCTCCTGTTTTCTCTGCTAGGATAACATCGGCCACAAACTGCTACAGAAACATGGCTGGAAGTCGGGACAAGGCCTTGGCAAGTCCATGCAGGGTAAGGACTCATTCGTCTATATGCCTAAGTTCACCATGCTGGAAATACTGGTCCACTGCTTTATATCATTTTTTTACCTCCCTAATATTTTCAGGATTTGTTTCGTTTGTGCAATTTGTTTTTCCTCTTCCACATCCACCCTTTGACCACTTCCTTTTTGTCTGTCCCGGGGTAAAGATGCATAATATGTAAAATGAAGTAATCCAAGCGATGCTTGCTGCTCTTGTACTGTTGTTCTGGAGATCTGAGGGCCTAGCAAAGAATGAGCTTAAATGAAGAAACTCCTGCGGCGTGGTAGATTTCCAGATTTTTCTGCATTAACGCAAGCTTTCCTCTTTGTGAATTATACTTTACAGCAGTTGTTCACATTGAGATTTGCAGCAAGTCATCTTGTGAAATGGCAGATCCAAATTTAAAAAGGTTTTCCTTCTCCAGTTCTTTAACATGAATGTTTACTTCCCCCCCATGTATGTATTGGACAATAAGAAGCTTCTGCCTGACTCTGTGATCAACAACAATAATTTGTCTTTGCAACAATGTCTAGAATCAATAGGCAAATGTGAGCCTGGCTCTGATTTACTTGTTACTTGTTACTGTTGTTGACTGATTTCTAGTGAAGGCTTCATATCAATCACTGGTATCATAAACAACACACATGTTCCGGAATCCTGCTGACTCTTAGTATTGAGACTGTTGTTCTTGTCTGTGTGTCCACTGCCTGGAACATGTCTTGTGCTTGAGCTTAAATTTCTAAATTTCTTAAACCATGGTAAAAACATATAATAAGGGATCCTACTAGAAATGTACAAACATATATTTGTCAAAAATCACCTTGAATAGGCCCAACACAATAATTAGACTGTTAAATGTTGTTCAGGGAGTACGTCGTCATGGAATACATGGTTGTAAGACAGCACTGATGCAATGCAGCTGAGTGTGTGACTTTGTGTTCTGTCTTGGCTCATGCCAACATTTCACTAACTCCAATGCTGCTTCATTACTACTTTTGTCTCTGATTGGTTTTTGGGTGTTGTGTCGGCATGTTACGTTTCTGTTAGTGATTTGCTTTTCTCTGTTCTCTCTCGCACTTTTCTTCCTTCTGTGGTCCTGTCATAGCCTCATTCTTACCCGCACTCTCCAGTATATGGGATGTTATTGGCGATCAATGTCATCAGTAATGTGCTAATGGCTTTGAGCTTGCTTTCCTGGCATTATGTTTGACTAACCTGTTCACCACATGCTTTTCTCTTGGCACACAAATCTCTTGCCTCTCTTGTTACGATTCTTACTGCAGAAGTACCAAATCCCTATGTATCTTTTTCCTGCCCTATCCCCCGCTCTTTGAAAAAAATGTCAGGATTTAATGAAAAACCTGTGCTGTCCTATCAAATGTAATAAAAATACTTTTCGATTTATAAACTATAGATATAATTATATATATATATTATACACTAATTTATTATATTTATTGTGTTATTTCCTATTCCACGGTACCATAGCAACAAGGATGTAAAACATTCTGACACACTGTTTGCAGCTATCTGCAAAATTCAGGTAAAAAAAAAAACGTGACTGAAGGCTCGATTACAGCAGGGGTTACGTATTTTTGGTAACAGTTCACCTTTAACTCTCTTTAATGGTCTTGGAAGGTAGATGCTGACCCATTTTTAAAATGTAATATCTATCCGTACTAATCAGTTAACTAACAAAATCATCACAGGGACGACATTGACTTTGAACTCCGAGAAATTAGTTAGTGTGTGATTTCATACATCGCTGTAAACTAAATGTCTCTCTATTAATTTCGGCTTTCCACATTTAGACAGTCGGCGGTAGACTGCCTGAGATCCCTGATCTAACGACAAGCTGTAAAGCTGCGCCTCTGCTCCGTTAGCAACTCCTGTTCATGTGCATATAAGGCGTGTTATATCTTAGGTATTCTCAGCTTACCGCGTCCAGGCACCGAACTTACCCTGAGATGCTGCGTTAGTCTAGGCAGTCTGACAGGTTTATAAAGGTGTACACCACTGCTGGAATTTCTTTCTTGTCTGGTTGATTTACTTCTTTCTTTATTTTCTGCTCTTCCTAGGCGGATAGCAATCAGTATGGCATGGTAGGGTTGTTTGTTTATTTCCAAGGCTGACAGAACAAGTTGCAGGAGCTGACTGTGCTTGTTTTTGCCACCGGCTTCTCTCGCGTTACATAAGCATCCTGCTTTGTGGGCTCACAGGACTGCAGCAGTCTACTCGTGTTGTGTAAGAATCAATGGCTCAGCGTTGAAAGCCCGCTATCTCAGCTTTATTAACTAAATGAACTCAGGAGTGGGCTCGCTGCACAGTCGTACTCCTGTATGTCATTGCACTCTGCAGGACCTCCAGTGTAATCCTACCATTCTGTCCTCAATGCCAGAAGAGGTTTTTTTTGAATTTTGAAGTGAAAGCATTGTCTCCCCTTTTAAGTTTTCACTGTATTGACCTTGTTCTTATTCTTCTTTTGTCCTTTTTGCCACTTTTAGGTAAGGTTTGTTGGACCCCCCCTCTGTATGTCAGTATGTGTGTGTGTGGGTGTGTGTTTTCTTTCTCCCAATCTGCAGTTTACCTCAATGTAACACCCCTTTAAATAGTGTACCGTAGGCTAATGGCCTCTGTGAGCTTCTTTCTTTTTGCTGCATAATCACTAAACCTTTATTCTAAATCTACTCAAAAGTGCAGTGTTGTCGTTCAAAACAACAATCAGTAAAAAAAAAAAAATCATGGTAGCTTCAGGAAGCTGTGATTCCATTGGACACCCGAGAAGAATCATCTCCACGTTTTAGATTTATTTGTTTATTTTTGTTTCCTCTTTGAGTTCATGTGGCTGCTGTTGGGTATCTGATTGCCTGTAACCATGTCTCGGACTTTGAATGGCTTGCAGAGTAGACACGTTTTCTTCCCTCTGCTTGTTTGCCTGTTTTCTACCTCCAAACCTGTTACACTTGTGTGAATGTGTGGTGTCGTCAAGTGGGGCTAAGATGTATGTATATTAATACATATATGTATGTATGTATGTGTGTCTTTTGACCGGGCCTTATAGTCAACTTACAGGGACATCCTCACCACCCTTCTACACCCTGACTGTCTCTGTCCCCATGGTTATATGCTTCCATCCTCCCCCCCCCGCCTCTTTATTTGCCCATCCAGCACAGCATGTTGTCCCAGAGGTGCACTCCTGCCTGTTTAAACTCACCTTGGGCTTTAAGCAGTGTTTGAGCCTCATTTAACTCAGGAAACGGATGTTTTCCTATTAATTTAAAGCATACTTTATACGCAGCAAGTAGCGTAGCATCGCTGTCTTCTTTTACAAAAAAAAGTCAATAGAGAGTCATACTGGTCCAGATATTTTGAATTTGACCATTACTCACAAAACCCTCTGAACACATTGGATTTCAGAGAACCGTGGCAGCACCCATTACTTTGGTTGACAGCGTTCCATTTTTTATTTAGCATTGCACAACCCTCTCTTAAGCACTGTTTAAAGCCTTTCTGGCTTAACCTGTCAGGTACATTTAAAAGTGTGTCACATGCCTTCTTGTTCCAGGATTAAGCTCATCCCAAAAACAAAACCTGGTGGCTGTACGATAAGGAAGCTAACTGGAGAATTGCTAACTGGGCTGACAAGCAATTGCAAGGCAAAAAAGCTCACTGGGGGGGGAATGGTAGCTGACCCTACAGGCATTTCATTATCCCATTCAGATTTTTTCAAATAGAAACACATGTTTTCTAACATCATTCTTTGCAAGAGTAGAGTTTTACCTTGGTTCACATTGTTAATGAATAACAAAAAATGATAAAATGATGATATTCTTCATCTTCACTTACCCAGTATGTGCCCTTGATAGGTTTAGGTCAGGGACATTAGGAGACTTTCCAAGGGGTATTAGTTTGAATCTTAAGGGGTAAACTAATGTTATATAAACACGATTGTGCCAATTTAGGGACATGGGGACTGGGACCAACCTTTGGGAGAGAATGGTGAGAGAAAATCCCTGTAAGCACTTAGCCCTGAGTGGAGGGATGAGGGGGCTGACACACTGAAGCCTCTCTGAGCCCCCCCCCCCCCCCCCAAAACCCCACCATCAAACTCCTGACCCCAACCTCCCTTCTCTATGTGCCTCAATCTTCCTGCTTAACCAATTGGTGTTTCTTTTTTACAGCGGTTTGATCCTGCCCATGTTGTGCTGATGGTAAACTTAGTGGTAAATGTTATTTTATCCCCCAATTGAATTGTTTTCTTTTACGGTTTTGTTTTTCATTTTTCCCATTTTTGTTTCCCTCTCATCAGAGCACCAATGCTACATAGGCTTTCAATTCTTTCTGTATTAGTCCTCATTCTGCTGCTTGTCGATTATCATGCATATGTATTACTCTTAGAACATTGTCATTTTGTTTGCTTTCAGTTTTTTTTGTTTTTTTAAAACCCCCTGTGATTTACACCCTGTGATTCTTTTAGACACACATTGTTTTGTCTGGTCCCTTTGTTTTCCACTGGAATGGGTAATGTGGAAGTATTGTCACTGTGTTTAACAATTGGTGATAGTTTGGGATGACGTTCAATTGTTCATTAAATTTTAATTCCAGGCCTGGCTCAGGACTTAACTCAGACCAGATCACTGCAGTGGCTGAATAACCCAATTTCCGGTTTTACTTCTCTAATGCTGTTGTTGCGCAAATGGCATAACCACACGCAGCCTTACAATCTCTACTCTAATCTCTATTCGTTTCCTCTCACATCCCCCGATTAAATTAAGCCTGCGTTATTGTGCAGTCAGAGATCCCTTATCGTTAATTTACAGAGCCATGCGGATCACAGACACTGCAGTGGGACTGAGAGTCCAGCCAGGCCACTCCATGTTACAGTGCCCGTGCATCTATGATTTCAGAATGAATATGTCATTGGGCTATGATGGCTAAATTTGTACAGGAAAGTATATGAATGAAACAATGTGTTAAATAATATACAGTATATATATATATTTATATATATTAACATTTTATGGCTGTCACTTTTTTTGGTTGAAAAATCAAGTTCAAATGAGTTTTATGTGAAACATCCCCACTTCTTGAGAGATCTTGTGTGTCACATGCACACACACAGTAAGTCTTCCAGGCATATGAAAAATCATTTTCTTTCTCCACATTTCTGCTGATGAGTCGAAAGCAGTGTGCTGAAGTGCGTAAGCAACGTAGTCTTTTTGTACGTAGCACAACATGAAAAGGCTCTAATTATACGCTAAGAACAGTCAACGTTATGGATCCATAGAAATCTCCAGTAAAAAAATATGCCATTTTTAAGCACTCATGTATCACAATTAGATCCTAAATATGCAAATTTTAATATTCCCGTGTCATATTTGTTTACTCTGCGATACTCCTTATCGAGCTTGCTCACATCATGACAATGCAAATTTGTCAGTCGGTAACTTCCGGCCTTTAAAGATCATAAATGAATCCTACAGTGTACTTACACTTAAAGCAAACCACTGGATCCTGCCGTCACTACTTCACACTGTCTGAGGCAAACTTAGCAGTTTTGAACTTTTGAACTTGCAATCCAAACAGATAACCAAACTATGGATGAAAAGTGACAGTCTTTGTACATATTTTAAACTAACCCTGCTCGGAAGGAGTACCACACCTGTTAAACTCTGACCATATTCCTTTTCCATATGCCCAATGGTATAAATTGAAAATTGATTCATTGAAACCCTAACTTGACTGTGAGAGGGAAAAAAAACTGAAACCAAACTGAATTGATAATCACTATCAGTAAAAATGGATTCTTGTATCTGGCTGGCAACAGGAGCAGCAGACTAGTCCAAATTCTTCTTTAAGCCTTTTGGTTTGAGATTTCCTTGTCTGTATGTCTGTCTGTCCGTCCTTCCCTTCCTTGTCCTCCTACACATATCCATGTTTTACCAGGTAAGTATCCCCCATCCCTTGCACTGTCACCATGGCCGAACCTGGCCCGTGACATCACTCTGCTGTAGTTCAGTGCTTGTGTCTTTTTTTAATTTTAATTTTTACTCTGTCTTTATCTTTGCTTTGTTTGGCTGATTATGAGTGGATTAAGCAGTTCTGTGTCAATCTCCAAAGTAGTTTTGATTTTATATATTTTATATCTTCGTTTTATTTTTGTTTTTTTTTGGTTTCGTTTTTTTTTTTTTCCTACAGTTAATTTCCTTCAAATCTAGCTCTTTTCACAGCTTACGTAGCTCTGGTTATGTTGACAAAATGAATTGTTCTTTTAGCTTTAGTCATCAGGTGTGAGGGCGGCGGGAGGCAAATGAGGTGGGGAGAACCATAGGAAAGAAAAGTTGGGGCAATGATGCCACCATTAGTGCTAAGATTGTAATATAATGCTCTGTTCTCTTTGTGGATAATCTCTCAGTGGCACATTGTTATTTCAGCTGCTCAGGCAGCTGCTGCTGCTGGCAAGAACACCAACACCAGCACCTCCACCCACAGTCCCTAGAGCATCAGTGTCCTTGATAAACTTCACAGTCTGGTTTAACAACACTGCAGCATTTAACAGGTGGAGGAGGGGCGGTGGACAGCATTACTTCACTGAAAAGGTACAGAAGAGGCACATGATAGAGACAAAAAAAAATCTTCTTTCACACAAAACCTCACATCAACCCAGATGCCCTCGACTTACAAACCCAACAAATACACATGCAGGTCAATTGAAAGCGATTTAAAACTCAATCAGCAGCCAGGTCATTTTGACAGCGGGATTAATTGGTCTGTGCCTGGTTGCTGTAGTAAGCTGTGAGAATAGCTGGTTTTTGGTCCACTGTAGCTTTCTGGTCTCTATGCACTTAAAGGCAACAATTTCTAACCCCAGCACTCTATGCTCTAAAAGCAGACTGTCTCCCAGCTTACCCTCGTTTTCCAGTCTCAAAAACTCAACTGTGCTTTTTTCCCTGTCTCTATGCCCTTAGGACGCACCGACCCTGTGCCTATCATCCTCAAATATGATGTCATGGGGATGGGCCGGATGGAGATGGAGGTGAATGCTTAGTTAAATGCTTTATATTATATTGTGTATTATTTATTTATTTATTGTAGTATGTATTTGGACATATCTTGTTTCCTACCAGTGTCAATTGGCCTTTTTGGATGCAATTCTCAGCTAAAGAGGCAGCTGTCGCTGCTGCTCATGAAAAGTTAGAAGAAGAGAGCAAGAAAATTTGTTTACCTGTAAACCAGCCGCATAAAATGTTTTTTTTTGTCAGACTGTGCATCTAACCGTCATATTTGGGACAAACTACTGAAGAAAATCATTTTTTTGTTATTGACCAAATGTAGTGCAATTTTGACAGTTTATAGTCTCTACGCTCCAATGATCAATGTGAAGAAAAACAAATGTATAGAGTTGCATACACTGTCGATCCACACTGTAAATATTTTTAATTTTTTTTATATTTATTTTCAGCTTGATTATGCAGAGGACGCCACAGAAAAGAGAAGAGTGCTGGAGGTGGAGAAGGAGGATACAGAGGAACTGCGGCAAAAATACAAGGTAATGCTGATTAGTCTTCTAGTTGACGTGGTGTAAATCTCTAGTTGTTTTCTAGTTGCTTCCAACATTTCAATTGAGGGCCACATCATCATTCACTGTTCGATAAAACAAAACCCTAGATATTTGAAGAAGAAAAAAATCAAAACCCATATTTTAAGACAATAATTAAATTATTACTGACATCTTGTCACAACAGGCTGTAAATTTGAGATCCCTGCTTACAGTCTCATGTTATGAAATGAAACAAACGTGTTTTTTTTTATTTCAAAATTCTAACTGTTTATTTCCATATTTTTTTTACTAATAACAGGACCAGATGGAAAAGGAAAAGGCAATTGCAAAAGCTCTGGAAGACCTGAGAGCCAACTTCTACTGTGAGCTCTGTGACAAACAGTACACCAAGCATCAAGAATTTGACAACCACATTAATTCTTACGACCACGCTCACAAACAGGTACAGTTAAAATGCCACTTTATCGCTTTTGAGGCGGGATTTAGGTGATGTAACGGGAATCCGGTAACCTCGCTGTCACTTATATTGCAGAGGCTTAAAGAGCTGAAGCAGAGAGAATTTGCTCGAAATGTTTCATCGCGCTCACGGAAAGGCGGAAAGAAACAGGAAAAGATGCTGCGCAGATTACACGAGCTGGCAGAGCAGAGAAAGAATCAGGAGTGGTAAGATTTACCTGTTAAGACAGGACCTTTACTGATCACTTATTGATCATTTTATAAAATATTAATTGCACAAAAAATGGCTCTTAACTGTTTTTTAAATTTAAATTGATTCTTACTCTAACAACAGTTACCTTAGCCCTCCTCCTGTAGGCACTGTTACTTATCTAATGAAATATACACTCTGTTTTTTAGTACTCCAGGAAGTGGGCCCATGTTCAAAACAACCACAGTGGCAGTGGATGGAGAGAAGGCAGAAGACATGGACAGCATGCCACCTGAACACCTTGCTCTCACCGATGCCACACCGGAAGTACCATTAATAGACAAAACTGGACAAGCTTCCCCAAAGCCTGCCGCTGCTGTTAGCTTCTCTCTGGGAAAAAACAGCTCCTCGTCCCCGACCGCGAGCAGTGCGTCCAAAGTCAGTGTTTCCTTCTCTTTTGCTAAAAAAGCTCCAGTAAAGCAGCTGACAGCAGCTGCCGTGTTCGCCGATCTCGGTGAGGAAGCCATGGAAGAGGAGGAGAACCAGGAAGTAGAAAAGGTCGTAGGTCAAGAGGAGACGGCCCCTGTTGGAATAGACAGTCCTAAGGGAGCGTTAGCGGTAGTAAGTGAAGAAGGAGAAGGCAGTAAAGAGGCAGGGACAGAGGAGGTCACGCAGTCTGATGATGGGGGAACTCTTGCGTCCACGCTTAACAAACTGAAGATGATGATGAAAAAGGAGGAAGGATATGCAGGACAGGAGCCCCAGTACTATCATTATGTACCGCCCGCTCACTGCAGGGTAAAACCACACTTCCAGTTTTTGCTGTTCATGAAAGCCACTGACCAGTGTCCAAGCAAAGAAGAGGAAGATGAGGAAGACGGGCCGGAGGAGAAGAAGGTCGACGACAGTCCTGAGCATATAGACACGACTGTTACAGACTCCAAGACCGAACAGGAACAACAAATTGTCACTTCAACCCCCGACATTGAAGAAACCACTCCTTCATCACCCGAGGTAAAGAAAGAAGACGCATCCTCATGTGCAACAGACGCGGTTTCCACCACGGTACCCACTTCACCTGCAAAAAAGGCAGAGACTACAGAGGATTCTGTCGATTTCAACTCAGGCCCTAAAATCCCCTCTGGTCCCTTCTTTGCAGTTCTCAGCAAAGATGAGAGCACTACCCTACAGTGGCCCTCTGAGCTTCTTGAATTCACGAAAGCTCAGCCTTCCTTGTCTTACAGCTGTAATCCTCTCTACTTTGACTTCAAACTGTCTCGCAACAAAGGACGCGCTGGTAAAGCCACAAAGTCCCCAAAGCCTGAGGAATGTGATGACCAGGGTAAACAGGTAGCAACCTCCACCCCTGACGTTGATACCAGTACCAAACCTATCAACAGCACTGACAAAGATAAGCTAACAGTCAAGGGGGAAGCCGTGCCGACAGATGATGAGCAAAAACCCACGACCAGCAGCAGTAGTACTAAGAAAAAAAAGAAAAAGAAGAAACATAAGAAGTCCTCAAAGCACTCAAAACACAAAGGAAAAGAAAAGGTGACGGCAGAAGATGGAGAAGGAGAAACCGACGCAAATCACGAAAAACCCAAAAAGAAAAAAAAACACAAACGGAAAAAGAACAAAAACAAAGCTCCCGATCCAGATGAGGCGACAGGTGAAGGCAAAACAAAACCAAAGTCAGAAGACAAGGCTGTTTCATCATCCGATCAACTGACCACAGGAAGTGGTGGAGCTTCAGGAAGTACAGAATTGGAAATGGGGAAGAGGAAACGGCCTAATAAGGAAGTGCTTTCGAAGTCTGAGGCAGATGAGGGAGGAGCCAGGAAAGGCAGCGAAAAGGTGAACGCCTCAGAGGAGCGAAGTGGCGCCAAACGACAAAAGACGGACTCTAGCGCATCCCAAAGTGCCTCCTGTTCCACCTCAGCGCAGAAGAGCCAGGGTCCTGGTAGACCTCCGAGCAGTGAAAGTGAGGAAGAGAGAGGCTCCAACACTCAGCGCTCACGTCACCACAGGTCAAGTCCTCGAGAACAGCGCAGACACCGCAGCGAGGAATCGAGGCGGTCTTGCAGCCGCTCATCAGGACGAGGAGAAAGGCGCGGCAGCAGCCGTCGGCGCCACCGTGGCCAAACCTCCCGCAGCCGGTCATACTCCAGTAGCTCAGAGCGCTCCTCAGCGGGCAGCAGTGCCTACAGCCACCGCAGCCGAAGCTACTCGGACAGCTACAGTGATTATAGCACAGCGAGCCGCAGGAGACGGCGTTCCAAACGCTCCTCTGATTCAGAGTACGAGAGGAGAGGAAGCAGAGGACGGAGACAGTCCAGGAGACATCAGTACTCCTCCTCCTCTTCGGACGACTCGCGCTCGCGTTCTCGCAGCTACAGTCGCAGGAAGAGGCACCGACGGCACCACCGAAGCAGCTCCAGGAGCTCGAGCAGCTGGAGCCGCAGCACCAGTGCGAGATCTTGGCGGCGGAGCTACAGTCGAAGCCACAGCTCCGCGAGCCGCTCCTCCAGTTCAGCCAAAGGCTCGCCTCACAGGCGAACGGCCAGGAGTCGAGCAGACAGCGACACCCGTCGTAGAGACTTCAACCGCTCGCGGATTTACCGCTCCCAGTCCCCTCGGTCCTCAAAGTCACGAAGCCTTAACCGAAGCAGCCACCCCTCGGGCTCTCAGACCCTGAGGCCAGGTTGCAACAGAGATGCAGGAGAGCATAAGAATTCACTCACAGCACGTCAACTTCTGGAGAAGGTCCAGTCTAAAAAAAGCTCAGAGGATTCTGTTACTGGAACAAAGTCTGGCTTCAAGATTAAAGATCCACCGCAAGGGTACTTTGGTCCCAAACTGCCCCCAACGTTGGGCACTAAAGGCATGCTCCCCCTTTTCGGTAAGCTCCAGGCAGGGAAGAAACCAGTGATTCCCTTAACCCGGCCTGATGAAGGGGATAAATCAGGAGATGGTAAGGGTTCTGAGGCTGAAAGAGAAGTTATCCTGGTAGAGCCTATAAGAGAGTTCCCACCTCCGCCACCACCTCCAGCACCTCCCGTTCAAAAGGTCGAGGAATCCCCACAGACCACAGTGGTTCAGGAAGAGACGGAGCACCCGTCAACAGAAACCCAAGTGCAACAGGAGCCCAGACCACTGTTCGAACAGGAGCCTGCTATGATGATCGCTCAGTACCAAGGAGAGCCAGGGCAGGATCCTTCCCAGAACCCCATGATGGAGCCCCTTATGCAAGAGATGCAGCAGCAGCAGCCTCAGATGCATCCGTACCCGGCGTATCCGCCGCCCAACATGGAGGAGGATGGTATGGAGGCAGAGGAAGACGGACTGGCTCCCCTGGAGAGTCAGCCCATTACGTTCACGCCCGAGGAGGTGGAGAAGTACAGCAAGCTGCAACAGGCCGCGCAGCAGCACATCCAGCAGCAGCTTTTAGCCAAACAGGTGAAGACATTTCCGTCTGCTGCGGCGGCGGCTGCCGCGGCTGCTGCGGCCGCCAACTTGACGCCGGTGGCGCCCCCGCAGGCCCTGCAGCAGATCCACATCCAGCAGCCAACCGTGTCCATGGCGTCCGGCACATCGATCACTACGGTGCAGCACGCTATTCTGCAGCACCACGCTGCCGCGGCCATGGGCATGCACCCGGCAGCTCATCATCACCACCACCCACACCCTGCACACGCCCAGTTGGCCCAGGTGCACCACATTCCACAGCATCACTTTACTCCCATCTCTCTGTCTCCTCTCGGCCACTCCCTCGGTCCCTCTCTGGGACACTCGCTGGGACACGCAGGACTCATTCCTGCCCACCACACAGCCTTTTTATCTGGACAGCCTATCCACATCATACCAGCTTCCGCCCTCCACCACACCCCTTTGGCACTGCACCACGTCCCCCATGCAGCCCTGTACCCCACGCTCTTCACACCCCGGCCCTCGCAGGCTGCGGCAGCAGCAGCTCTGCAGCTCCACCCACTACTACACCCCATCTTTTCAGGACAGGACCTTCAGCACCCACCTAACCATGGCTCTTGAGTTCTAATGCAGTGTTCGTCACAGCCTTAGTTGAAGAGACTTCACCAAAACGGACTAGTTTTGGGGTTTTAGACGATGGCTTTGATACATCAGAGTCCTTGAGACAGGTAGTTTGTTAAACCACCACTTAATAGGCCTTACACAGTTTTTCAGCCATAAAGTGGTGCGGCCTGTGGTGGCTTTAAGGTTGACACTGGGATATCTACCATGGTCTTTCCTATATTTTTTAACCCATAAGATCAATTTAAAGACAGAGGAGCTCCTAGACTTTTCGTCCCTTCACCTCTGAATCTCTCATTTACACTTTTTGGTAGCTGCTGAAACAATACGGCTAGAGCCTAAAGCTGAATCCTTTCAGTAGAGGGGAAGTTGGTGGTGACGGTGTTACTGTGTGTTACTTTGGACTTTTCAACTCTTAGATATAGGCCGTGTTTTTAAAACTGATGCTTTTCTGTTCTTCTGACTTAACTTCGCTGTTTATTGGATTGGTGTTTCGGCAAGACCTTTTGTAACTGTACATATGTGTGTGTAATGTGAAGAGTAGTTATGATCGCGTAAAATTACAGCTACGTCCCAATCAACACAAAGAGTTTCACCTAGGGGGCTCCCTCTGTCGCCAGTTAGAATAGACGGTTTTTATTCCTGATGTTCTGAGGCAGAGCTTGCATTCTCTTCGGTGAGGGTACACCTGAATGAATTGCACTGAATTCTGTATATCAAGTTGATGCTTTTGCATCATGTAACAATAAGATTGTAGTATACTGCAATAACTGTTTGTTTTTTTTTCTTTTGTTTGTTTTAAATTATTTTCCAAACCGTTCTTCAGGAGCTTTTTTTTCCCTTTTGTGTAATTTTGTAAATAAAGCTGCTGTAGAATGACATATTTACATTGTAAAAATTTCAGGTTAAAAAAAAAAAATAGTCGAATGAAAAATAAATATGGTGACCGGTAAAAAAATAACAAACAAAAAAACAAGCCTGACTGACCGCTTTTTCTAACGGTTAGGTCGGTTTCGTTGGTTCAAACTCACAGGTGGAAAAGATTGTATTTGGCCTCCGTGTGCTGACCTGAGAGTCATCATAAGGAACAGTAGAGTCGAGGTGTGAATGGAGGTTGTCGGAAATGCTTGTGTGCATCCTGGTGTCTGTTTGTTTTGGTTTGTGTATGAGAGTTTTCTAGGAAGATGACTCCGAACCTTACTGTATGTAGTTTAATTTGTTTTTGCGGTTTCTGTTCTCATACCATTGCTTATGAACTGAGCAATGGTACCGGAAAATGTGGTTGAGAGAATGGACTGTCCAGAGTGACTGTCCAGGTTTGGTTTCATGGTGATAGTGCTGTAAAAAGAACCTTAACACTATGGGAAAATCAGAAAAGCCAGAGATGTATTTTAGGGATTCCATCAGAGTTCCTGTTAAACTATATTAACTAAACCTGACAAGTGACTGGAGGAAGAAAGCAACTCCACCACTATCGATTTGTGAGTTGAATGGTAATAAAATTAAAAATGATTTTCTTGAAAGTCTCTGTGGCTCACAGTTCTCAGGCAGCTATGTATTTATGCGAGTTGTTTAAATGATTGTCATTTGTCTGCTGAAAGAGTTGAGGGATAGTGGCCACATGGTGAACAAATGCTGTGGGCTCACAGGAAGAAGTTAATTGATCTAATCCCCAGTGGCAACTAATGGTCTTTCAGTATGTTTGTTTGCTTGTTCTTCATCTGTGCGTGTGGTTGGTGTGTTGGGTTTTTTCAGATATTTCTACTTCCTCCCAAATTTCAAAAACATGCGTTATTAAATTAATTCTAAACCACAGATACAAATGTAAGTTTGAATGTTCGTACCCAGCCCTCTGCAGGTGAATGCTGGGAATGTTGGCTCCAGTGCAAAGGGATTGGTACTAATTCCATTAGCATAGCCGGTAGCATTTTTAAGAACAACAATCCTTAAAATTAAAACAAAAATAACAACTGGAACAAAAATATTTTTATGTAGTCGGTTTCTTAGTTTGCCATGCTAACACTCTCTACCACTATAATTTTGTTATTTTTTATAAATTATATATATTTCTGCGTTCTGTCACTTTACAAACATGTCTATTGTTCATCATAAGTTATAGAGATTATCTACTCTGCAATTAATCAAACTCCTATTTGGCAAATATCAATGTTGAAGAGCATAACGCCTTCTTCTTCGTATAATGTAGTGCTCAAACTTTCTGCAACGCTCCCTATGGTAGAGACGATTATTGTCAAAGCCCTCTTGTCTTCCACTTAAGCATATTCACAGCCATTGCTTTAAAAAAAAAAAAATCCACCGAACGTACCTTGACCGACTGTATTTCTACAAAAGTGCTATTCTTATTCACAGAGGAAGAAATCACACATGTAAAAAGGACATTTCCTCACTGTAGCACAAATAAAGACGATATAAGAAGCTGGAATACATTTGCCATCTTCTGGTTGATTATTGCAACTGCATCTGATTTGCTGTATCTTACTGTAGGATGTCTGCCTTGGCTGCTTAAGTGACGTGTCAAGCCCTATAAGGTTACCCTCCAAAAAGGGGTTGTCAGTCGTAAATATTATTACACCTATTAGTATTGATAGATACAGGCATACAATGACACCGTTCCCCCAGCAGGGGTCAGTGTTGAATCAGAAACGCTGGACGCTGCTCTTCATATCCAATAGACTTGAGTGGGATCGTTTTCATCTTCAGTTAGGTTGAGAACACACCGGTTATAATATTAACTTTTTATTAAGAGAATTTGAAAAACTCACATAGTGAGACTAGACACAGGTATACACCATGAGTAAAACATACAACAATTACATAATGACTGTTTTCAGGCACATGTTAGTGACATCATCAAGTCTGATGAGAGAAAAAGTCCTGCATCTGTGGAGTCCAGATGACTGAACTATGAACATAATCCAAAAATGAAAAAAAAACAAAAAACATTATTCTTGTTTCTATATTATACTATTGGCTTTCATTGTTTAAAACTTAATCCAGGCAGAATGAAGGTCAATACTGATTGCAACTTATAAAAGAGAACTAAAAAGCTTCTGTTATGGCGAAAGCACATTAAAGTGATGAGTACTGTTTGAGAGAGGAAGGTTCAGGTTCCTCCTGAAACTGAAAGTGTAAGAAATGACTGCCCTGATGGCGTCACTTAATAAATTACTCATCTTTAACCGATCTTACGAATTTAGGTTTCATATCATGAGGGACGTTGTGTTGCGGAACTGTCCGTTAGTGACCCACAGACTGCTGTTCAGCCCAGGTATCTGATGACCAGGAAGATGACAACGCAGGTCAACAGCATGCCTCCGATCATGATGAACTTATCTTGGGTAGCTCGCTTCTCTATCAGTCTCATCACTGTGTTCGACAAGCCCAGCATGTTGGCCACATCCAGCATCTTCTTATGGGTCCCCTGTGGAGAAACCAAACAGCGACGTTCACATGATGATAAAAAAAAAAAAAATTTCCAGAACTGCCCATGGGCGACGCCTTCCCTGACGTGTCATTCTGTCAGAACAAGTTTCTCATGGCTGGACGACGTGTGCAGAGTGTACTGATTAGCGGACACACCCTGATAAGACGCGGCCTCGGGCGAAACCAGGAAGAGCATCTCCTCCCTGGAAACACGCACTCATTCTAGAGCTCAGCATGTGCCCAATTAGGCTATTGTGATCAATTTTGACACGCAAAAAATCTGGGTCAGTGGAGGAAACTTTCATCCTGTACCACACCTACTTTACAAACGCTTATTCTGGTGGCCTAATGTTAGGTGCTGGTGCTGCTCACACCGATAAGGCTAACGTGCTTGATCAGCATGTACTGTATATGTGGCCTATTAGGATGTAAACATGGGACACACCAAGGAGGGATGGCACGATCTGATACTAGGATTGAACATAAATAAAAAAACGTCCGATCCGATACACGGTCGCCTAGGCAACGGCAACACCAAACTATTGTGACAATAAAATTTGGATTGGTACATCCCTGCATTTTACATCCTGTCCCTCTAACAGCTCCCAGAATCAGCTGCAAGAAAAAGAACTAGCTAAATACCGATTTTATTTAAGTGTCCGGACCCCAAGGTGCCCGAACTAAATGTATGACACACGGACATTTCAGCGCGCTTGTTCACGTACACACCTTTAGCGTGGATCTCTGTTCTCGGATTCCGTTGAGAATGCTGCTGCCGCTGCCCAGCAGGTCGTCCATGCCTCTGTGCGCGTTGTGCAAACTGGAGTTAAACTGTAGGGTCTCGTCGATGGGGATGGAGGTGTCTGCGTCCTACACGGGGAGAACAAACAACGTCAATTCACTACATTCTTCAGCTTCACTTCAGTCAGTCCAGTCTGCTTTCTGAGCTTCGGGGTTCGTGTGACTTTCATTGGTGGTGAAGGTTCTGCTCAGCAGCTCCTCTCTTTCTCTCTCCTGAGCCTCCTGTGTGTAGCGTCGGTGCTGGAAGTTTTGCAGGGCGCTCCGAATGTGTTGGACATCGTATTTGAGTTGGTCCACTCGTCTGTATGAAAGACGAGACTACAGTTAGGTACAGGACAGTTCATTTAAATTAATTACACAAACTAATAGGTTTTTTTTTTAATAGGTCGATAGGTCAACGGTGACATCACTCATTACTCTACATTTAATTATTAGCCTGGCTAATCACTGTCTCCTCGTCCCATGTCCCGTCAGTGCTGCGTCCCCTAACGTGAATACCCAGCTCGGAAATTAATCTTTGCCGAACGCTGCAGCAATGCTGGCGATGACGGGGTTTCTGAGGAAATGTTTTCATAAAGCAGCGCTGCCAGAGGGCAGGACGGGCCCATCTGTCACAGCTTCTACGCCCTCCTTTTATCAGATATTACTCGCCCCACCACCTGCGGGGCTTTAGGGTCACCGTCAGTCGTCAAGCGGGGAACTCACACTTTGGCGTTCTGACGGCGGTTCGGTGGCTCCTTGCTGGCCAGAATTTCGAGGCGTTCTAAGTGGTTAAAAGTCTGGTCGATTCTGTGCTGCAGCTCATTCTCCAGCACTAGGGTACGAGGACAAGACGAGACAAGAAAAATACTATTATATACAGTACAATTTTTACAAACAGGATTAACATTTTTAGCCAGCAAAAATGGCATATTCTTAAATACGGTAAATCCAGAAAAGCCATGATGAAAAGCTTAATATTATAAATATTAATTTTCACATTATCGATTCCAAGGGCGGCGTTTTTTGGTGTCACTGTGAAACAAAATGTAAATAAAACAAATAAATACAGGTTAAATTGACCAGAAACATTGGAAAACTAGCATTAGAAAAAACAAGTTAACACTAGCTAGCACACTGGCACCAAAATGTAGCTCAGTATTCATCCAAATAGAGCCCAGAGTTAGAGTAAAAAAGTTTCAATTATTTAAAACTTTAAGACGTGTTTTCATTTACTCAACAAATTTCTGTTCAATTTTTAAAGATCTATAAAGTTAGTACTTGTTAAGTATTAGTGTATGTAACTACACACGTCGTTTTACTCCGTTCTTGGCATTACTTCACCTCTGACACATTCTATTTAGTTTTATCAGTTTCTTACACATCCCTCTTCAGTGCCTTTGAAAGCCTTGACTCACACTGAAATCAAATTACACGTGTGCTCAAGCCCATGAGTCACTGCAGCTGACATCACTCTGTTTGTTGCTGTACATACGCAGCCATGCAGGGTGGTTTTCACCCTCTTTCATTAATAACCCTACAAGATTAGTGGGTTCCACCACGCCCACCGGTGTTAAAGCTGATGTCATCATCTGGGAAAAAAAAAAAGCAGAGGGGGCAGTGTTGTCTACACCGCGCCGGCTCCCACCATTATCTTGAAGAAGCCCTCCCATCTTCTGTCACTGCACCCAACCCACTGCTTCCTGTCCTGGCACCAGCCTGGCCATGAGCTGCTCAGGCAGGCACCGACCGCAGGACACAGCAGCCCCCCCTACAGTCATTATGTCTGAAAGGGAGGCAAACAGACAGCCATAACAATGACCAAGTACTGAGTTGAAGTGGTGCCATTAGCACCGATCTGACAACAGTAACGTACGAAGAGTGAGCTGGACCCACCATTTAATCACGAGCAGCCCATTACGTCCATGTTTGTTTTTCACGCGGTTTCCTTGCATTGAATGAACAATTGTTGACGGGTAATTAACAGTCAATGCTGTTAATTTAATTAGTGATATAAATATAAATGCATGAGAATTGGACGTCCATCTTAAACTGAATCACACAATTCAGTTGGCTTCTCTTATATAGTTAATGATGGACTTAAAATCACCCTTTTTGCTAAGACTCTAAAGGCATCACTGTCTTATTCTAGTATACAGTGCAGGGCCATATGTGAGCGTAAATACCAAGAGTTAGCAGTGACAAATGACAGCGTTTACATTTAAAAGAGCATAAGAAGAGTACTGAAATTGACATTTATTTAAGGTACGTCTTTTTTTTTTTTGTATTAAAAAGTCCTGTATAAAGAGACACAATCAACATATGGTTGTGCTTGTGGCTAGTTCTATGGTTTTACGTTGTGAAAATGTATATTTAACATTGCCACTACTGGTAGTTACTACTATGGCTGATATAATTAATACTCACAGTGAACGGACTGTCGGTCTGTTCTCTCCAGGTTCCCCATCATAGACTGAATCTCATGGATTTGCCTTTAATTATAACAAACAGAATCAAATTAGCGAATGAAAGCTTCCACGTTTCACCATAACACACACACGTTCCATTTGTTTATCGAACGGAATACTCCACGAGCATTAACGAGAAAGAATACTCCTCTAACAACAAACAAAACATACATATTGTATTCTAGACTTTACTCAATCTAAGTTTAAGTTGTACAGGATAGCCTGGCAGCTACAAGTCTCTTACAACTCTATTGTCACACAATATAGACGAACTCACTTGTTTGTCTGATGATAAAGTGTCTCCATTTTTCTTTCATCCAATAAACCTTTCCAACTCTCCTCTTGGCAATGTTTATTTTATGTAGAACGCCTTTATTCTGACAGCTGGCTGAGCTAGCAGGATGGCTAACGGTGCTTAGGTGTACACGTCATCAGCTGAAGGTTTGTGTACGGAAAAACGTTGGCGGAAGTTCCTTTGCGTCAGCAAGGGGGCAAAACAAAACGAAGAGCGCTCACTCTGTCTTGAATTTGTCAGCGCAGAAAATGTCTCCTGCTAAATAAAATACTGTATTAAATTGCGTTACATACCCAGGTAAAAGGGGAAGCGGAAACCTTATTTTGTCCTCATAATACTTTATCATTTTAATGCATATTTTATACTTTATTGCTAAATATTCTATCTTGCTGGAATAAGTACGTTTTTATTTTTAAGGTAATGAGTAGGTTGTTAAGAAGAATATCTGATTTTATAAACTAAATTACAACTGGTTAAAATGGAGGATATACAGAGAAATTACATTTTAATTTTCATACGTTTTTTTTTTTCAAATTGGCTGAACTCAAGTACTTTTTTTTAGCTTAGGTTTCCAAAATATATATGTTTTTGTTGACCTCAAAATAATTTTCTAATGCAATTTATAGAACCAGGCAGATATAAACAAACATGTTTATGACAAAAAATAAATTAAATGAAATTTGACTGATGAAATTAGTCAAATTTATTGGCTAATAAAGGCAACAGCAGATCAAACAAAGATGAAAATTAAAAAAGAACATTAACATTTATCAAAAACATAATATAGATATTATAAAACAGACGTTGATCATTCAAACCGTTTTATTTCATCTTGAGTTTGTTTCCTGGAATAAACCTGCAGCCCAGACCAATTAAT